GAATAGGTGTTTTCGTATAATAAGTCGCTCCTGTACCTTTAGGGCCATTTTTAAACACCTTCCCGACATAGACTTTCCAATTTTTTTGTTTTTTCTAAAAGGGCATTACATTATCAAAATTGTGTATCAATTGCATCGCGTAACACTCTCGTTTAAGGCCGTTTTGAGAGCAATTTCGAATAGGTGTTTTCGTATAATAAGTCGCTCCTGTACCTTTAGGGCCATTTTTAAACACCTTCCCGACATAGACTTTCCAATTTTTTTGTTTTTTCTAAAAGGGCATTACATTATCAAAATTGTGTATCAATTGCATCGCGTAACACTCTCGATTAAGGCCGTTTTGAGAGCAATTTCGAATAGGGTTTTCGTATAATAAGTCGCTCCTGTACCTTTAGGGCCATTTTTAAACACCTTCCCGACATAGACTTTCCAATTTTTTTGTTTTTTCTAAAAGGGCATTACATTATCAAAATTGTGTATCAATTGCATCGCGTAACACTCTCGTTTAAGGCCGTTTTGAGAGCAATTTCGAATAGGTGTTTTCGTATAATAAGTCGCTCCTGTACCTTTAGGGCCATTTTTAAACACCTTCCCGACATAGACTTTCCAATTTTTTTGTTTTTTCTAAAAGGGCATTACATTATCAAAATTGTGTATCAATTGCATCGCGTAACACTCTCGATTAAGGCCGTTTTGAGAGCAATTTCGAATAGGTGTTTTCGTATAATAAGTCGCTCCTGTACCTTTAGGGCCATTTTGATAGGAATTTGTAGGTACTATATATATATATATAGGAATATAGTGAATCTGACAGCCGATTTATTTGAATTTCTACGCTTTAGGGATGTAGTGAAGCTAGCAGCCAAAAAGTAAGCAGCTGTATTAATAGAATTATACACTGTATAGGGATGTAGTGAAATACTTAGGGATGTAGTGAAGCTAGCAGCCAAAAAGGAGCAGCCGATTTAATAGTTTCTATTCAAAATAGGGCGTGGTTTTCAGGGGAGTGGCCTGTTTGCAGTGACTTACACACTTGTTGGCACATATTAATCGCTGCCTACTTTCTGGCTTGCTACCTTCACTACGGTGTATAGTTCCTATTACTTGTTGCAAACTGTACACTTAAGTATTTGCGATTACGATTACGTTGAACAACGTCACATTGGAAATTCCTGTGCAGAATTTAATTCTGTAGTCATTGTTGATAATGTCTGCAATGCTAAACTCACGCTGATCTAAATACGTATTTAGTTGAACAGAAACGTCCTTATACAACACATTCAAAGAACTTTCAGTCCGTTGATGGTCTGTGCTTTCAGTCTCGCAACACATTTCATTAACCAGCTCTTCTTCTTTAGTTTGCGTGTTTGCTAATAAAAGAAGCGTGTCGGCTGCTTCCAAACGCACAGCTTTTTCTAACAGTTGTTGTCGACGGACGTAGCGGTCTTCACGTTTTGCCTTAGCTTCATGATTAACTGCCGATTGATGCCGTGCGCTTACCTGGTGAAATATAATCCTCTTTTGTAAAGCGAGCACTACAAACTTTCATTGTATTTGTTATGGGTTTGTCTATTACTCTATTCGTAAAAGAATTTTTCATTTTTTCCTACTCAGAGCATTTTTGGGGAATCCGTGCATTGAGACACTACACGCGTAATCATTTCTACACTGAGGACTGAGCAATAATGATTACTTTTTGTTATTTTTGTGTATTCACGTTTATTACATACCTACGTGAACTTCCATTTTTATCCTCAAACAGATAGTTCTAAAGTTGACCGCTACGCGGAGACTCTTTAGTGTGCGCTTGCGAATTGCTGCGTGTTGAAGCAAATTTTCGTATGGCGGCCATATTCTTGATGCACCAAACTACTTTCTGGCAATTATGTGATTAATGGATCAGTTTCACTAAAATCAGGAAGAAAACACAAAGATTGGCAATTTGTTGTTGATTACCTCAAAAAATGAACTCATTTATTTTGAGTTTTTTAGCGGTAAATATTGTTTAAATCTTGCTCATTACCAAGGAGATTTTTCCGTAAATAAACAATAAGTATTATTAGAATTATCATTGATTATACACACTATAATCATTGTATACGTAATACATATACATTATACAATGCTATAATCAATGGTATTATTAAATATGTGGTACATTGAAGCAAAGAGTATTAAGTTTATAAACTATCAAGATTCAGATTCAGGTATTCAACAGGCACACTACTCATAAGTCATAACACGGTTTAAGAAGTAGGTGCGACATGGCTCTATTAATCGCATAAATTCAAATGTTATTTCGAACGGAGTTGGTATTAACATTTAATTATAGTTATAAATTCAATGGTATTAATCTGTCTTGCTCTGAGCAAAGATAATAGGCGTTTTCGTTTTACCCTAACCATTATGTATATGTGATGTAATCACATCGAACTTCAGTACTGAAGTGAAGTAGAAAATAAAACGGGTAAAACGAAAGCTTTTCTTTGCTCTGAAGCATATCTATAACGGAGTTACGTACGTGGCGACATCTCAACGAAACTTGTACAAATATAAAATGAAGGAAGGTGTATCGATTACCGAGGAGATGGCGCACTTGTTCCTATTGTACATAGATATATAAATACATAGATACAGCCATACCCCAACATAGTTCAAAAGGACGTACCATCTATTACCATCACTTTCGGCACATTAATTACGTATAGCGCTATCCTTTATAGAGGTACCCTGAGCATGGAAGACAAGATTCGCATTATTTATTATAACTGTCAATCAAATTGTTAGCACAAATCACACAGAAAATTATCAGATTTGAGACTTTACAACATAAATAAACCGCCTTTTTATTTATTTAAATCGCATAGCAGCAAGAAATGTTACATTTAAAATGGAAGATGTTACTTAGAAAGCTGGCAAATGAAGAATTTGAAAAAATTACAGCTGACAACTGGAAGAAAGTGTGTGAACATGTGGAAAGTGATTAATTTAAAAGAGAAGTTATATTTGGTTGATGTTGCTGAACTTTATAATACCTAAGTGTTAATAATGACAGTGATGATTCGAATTTGTCAATTTCATCTGACGATGATTCGGATTGTGAGCTTTTACAAACGTAATGAATGTTCACTAAATGAGTATTATCACCAATTGGATATCATTGTTGTATTTATTTTAAATAAATGTACACGTGTAGCTTACTTACTACAATTAGCACTATAATTTCAAAAAGAAACCCCACCGAATGGTCACATATGCCGAAAGGTAGGCAAGACGCGTAGCGACCAAAATTTGATATTGCACGCACACACAGTCTAAAAACTCGTTTTCCTAAGAATATTGGACGGATCCTTCTTTGTGATCATGATACAAACGCACTGCATCAACATCATATAGGCCAAAATAATAATTGGAAACGAATTCTCTTCCTGTCGCAACAATTTCCTTTACCATTACGCCTAAAACCATGCAATTAAAATTAAAATGTTGAAAATAAACTTTACTTACTTACGGTTTATTTGATATTCTGCAAGCCAGCAATGAATTCAATGCAGCACATCATGCCAAACAGGGTAAACATTATCCCAAATTTGAATGGCGTAGTTCGATGTAATAAAACTATTTCAGGAATAACAATTATTATTAACGCGTCTATCATTATGGCAAGCACTAATGTTATTCGTATTCAATTGATAACGCAATAATTACATAATATTTAGTGAAAAAACCGCCCATCATGTTTAGGGCGAATATTTTTAGTTAGATTGGATTTCGCGCTATCGTGAAATGTGTCAACTGTCACATGACTTATGGGACGCGCTAAGTTTGTTTTAAGCGTCCGATTCGCGTACGACATAGTGGTTAATGCAATAAAAAGAGATAGAACATGTTTCATCTTGGTTAGAAAGTAATGGAGAGATGTACAAATTTCTTTGATATGTTTTTTAAAAACCGAGGTACGTTTGTTAAGGATGGCTGTATCTAGGTATTTATATATCTATGCTATTGTATTACAGTGACTTTATAGAGACAGTGGCGACAATAGAGTGTTTAATTTTTGATTGGTCGTTGAAATCGGTCGCCATTTTGCGTAAAATTTCACGTGTTTCCGGTAATAGATATGCTCACGCGCATTCCCGCGCTTCTATAAACATCACTGGTTGACAAATTTCAAGTACAGGTGCAATGATATTCCTACAAAAAATAGTATCATGACAGATGACAGCCTGACATTAGCGACTTCTGCAGTCAAATGCCAGAGGCAGACGATGAAAAATTTATGTTTCGATGGCCGTGAATTCAGTACCTAATTCATATACCTACACAATTATAAAATGAAGGAAAGTGTAACGATTACCAAGGAGATGGCGGACTTGTACTCATTGCATTTAAACCTATATAATATTCAAAGATTTAACTAACTATTCAAAAACACAGTCATTGAACCATTGAGTAATTACCTAAATATGAATTCACTCAACGATTGAACTGTAATTGCTGTACAGATCTTGCAAGACTCCGTAACATATCTTTGTTTCGTAAACCGTAAGGGAATTGTTTGTTTTGAAACATTTTTTTTATTGTTAGGCACGATTGCTTACACATGCAATCAAATTGACAAACAAAATGGTAAAAATCTAAATATTGCTTCTCTAAATTCAAAAAGCTCATAATACTTTAGGGCCAAACTTAAATTATTTCATAGTAAAACGTATTGTCGCTCTTCGATCCCTCGATATACGTATGTACGTATCCGAGATTTCTTTAACAATTGTCTTTTAATTATCTAAAACGCCCTCATTTCCTTTTCAATACGAACCATGCCAACTGTAAAATACACCACTTACGCATTTTATATCCGAGAACGATAATTACATTACTATACACAAAAGGGTGTAATGTAGCGCTCTAATTTTACAAGTTGAATTGGTAGTGCGCTTGTATTTTGATTTTAAGGGTAGTAGTCAACGGCGCCTAGTTTCGACTGAGTTCAGTAGCGTCTGTGACGCCTGCTAAGCTGTGTGGGTGCATATAGTGTGTTTATTATTTAAAGATACTACATTGTCACTTGCTCAATTTCCCGTTTTTAAAATTCATAACGGGGTAAATAAAGGTAGGTACGTAAGAGTTAATAGAGTTTTGATAAAGATGTTCATTTCAATAGGCGATGTACTATATCCTTGTATGAATCAAAGTACCTATAGATACCTATCTGTGCTGTTACCGGCGAAATTATACGAAATGTTGATGGTTGTTAAACTTTTATTAAGTGAAAGCTGCGGAAACTGTCGCAAAAGCAGCACTTCAATTTTCAAGAAGACGCTGTTTATTTCCATCTTGTTGCCATTAAACGGTCTCTAAAGTTTTAGGTTTCCTAATAGCAGATTTATTTATATAACTCCGATATGCTACACGTTTTAAAACAATGAGCGTTAAGTAAATAGAAACTTCGCTTTAATGAAAAAATCAAACCGATCATTCAATTTAAAAGGTCTTAAAAACCACAACGACAGATAACGAAATGACTTTACCTACTTATTATTTTTTTCTTTTGGGTATACCTACCTATGTAATAATTTGGTACTTATACGTATCTCTCCGAGTTACTTGCTTCATTGATTTAGGGTCAGGTTTTCTTATTGTTGTTAAGTCTAGGTATCTTAGTATCTATCAGTTAGTTTCCAACCCTTATATTTATACTGATTAACTGTTATAGGTAAATTATTAGTTACGTTGAGGTACCTATCTAGTAGAGTAATCTGTTCTAATAGTGATGTGTGACTGAAGGCAAACGGTCAGTGAGTGTGGAGTTCACGTCTAAATAAAGCATTCAGTTCCGTTCCCAATAAACAAGCATCCCATTCTAATTTAGTTTCCTGCTGTGAGCTTTTATTGTTAATTAAACGTAATGAATTAAAAGCAAACACAGACTTTTACGTACCTATCAAAAAACCTTTTAGTGAACTCGGCACCTTCGATCCCCATAATTTTGAAACGTGTAGCTAGAGGCCTTATTCTTTATACTTACGACCTTATATAAATAACTTCGAACGTATTTTAAAGTGTTCAGACGATTTTACAGAAAGCTCCTAACGGCACATTTTCTTGATAAATGATGCAAAGAGAGTATATTACCTTTGATAAATTAAGAGGTCCTTGTGATGGTTAGATTGTTATATATAGGTACTAACTTACATTTTAATTTCAGAAACGATACCTATACCATTTCTCAACTTTTTCGTGGCGTCGGTCAAGACAAGACACATTTATACCAATATGTTCAATTTTATGGATATTAATGGCATGACAATGTGAGAATATGTCTATGCTTTATTCGAGTGAATCGCCTGGGAGCATTTTGTGTTCTAATAGTAGCCTTTCGGGATGTGCTTTATGTCCATGGATGAATGGTTCTATGTGGATTGAAGAATCTCGTACTGCAATCTTACGAAGGTATGCGTATGGAATTACACTGCCGGCTATTTGCAGCCTTGGAATTGTTGGAAACGTTCTCAATCTTGTCGTTCTCACAAGAAGAAATATGCGGGGAATTGCTTATATTTATATGAGAGGTAGGTACCTTAAGTGAAACATCTTCACCTGATGGCAATTCCGTTTTTATGAAACATTATTATTTATGTTGTTTATGTAGGTAGGTAGGTACATACCTCATCCAAATGTGTCGGTCAAAGACAAATTCGATCTGTTGATGATTGGTTTCGGGACATACCGTCAAGTATAAATTAAAGAAACCCACTTTCGAAAAAGTACCTACTCTCGTTATTCATTTATCATTACCTATACCTATAGGTACTTTTTGATTTTCGAGCACTTGTTATACCTAAGGTAAAATGGTAAAAGTTTTGATTATAGCGTAATTAGAATTTTTTGTACAATTAAACGTAATTCCTATATTCCCAGAACAGAATGCATGCTACAATGATGTTCACTACGACAGCTGCACCCCGTTTGCCTAGCGTTTCCAGCTTCAAGCGAAATTAGGTAGCCACCAGACCAGGCCGCGCCGTTTATGCTTTGTCGGGAAATCACACAAACATTGTTATTACTTCTGATGTTTATGCTAGCGTTTTTAGGTACCTACTCGTAATGAGTGATCGGGAGTAATGATATAAGGATTGCGCGAAGGGGGTGGCGGGTGAGGATCATTCTGTTCTAGCATTTTAATTTGATCAAATTTTATATAGGTACTTACCTAGAAAATTTTTCCATAATATAGAATTGATATTACTGTCAAATAAGTATACCGTACACATATATTTCAAACATTTCGTGCAAGAACAGATCCTTTAAAAAGCGGTTCGTTTATCACAATTACGTATTTATATAGGTATTATCATTGAATAATAAATGGTATTATTTAACATCGAATTATTTATTCAATGATAACACAAGATCGTTTTTACGATGAAGTACCTACCTATGCCAAAAGGAAATACTAGAGGTACCTATGGGCATTGAATTTATAACTATCTATAAATTCAATGCTGTACAACATTGCTATACCTACCTATGATGAATATTAAATAGGAAAGGCCCAAGAAAGTATTTGCTCTACTCTACAATTTTACTTAAAAAAAAACAAATGTAAGTATAGGAATTAACAATTTTATCACAGGAAACATTTTGGAAGCACAAAATTAAAAATGGGTTTTACTTGCACGGTTTAAGCCTATAGATACATTTCCCATCATAAACATGTTGAAGAATCAAAATGGTTATCTATTTTATTGTAAATTAAACTTTCGTAATAGGTACTATAGGTTTATATTCTACTCGTATCGTTAACATTAATTTTATTAAACGGATTACCCTTGAAAATTAAAACGGCTTCGGATTGAACAAGAGCAATTTGTGGAAGAGCTTTAAATTGATTGCTACCTAAATGTAAATATTTTAAGTGTTTTAACGTGTTAAATGTGTTTGGGTTAACTTGATTCAATAAGTTCCGATCTAAGTATAACTTGACTAGATTTGGTAATTGCATAAAAGTGTTGAGCTTTAGTTTTTTAATCTTATTATTACTCAAAACTAGTGTGCTTATACTTTTTGAATTTAAAAATGGCGTTTTGGGCAGCAATATTTCGTTATCGTTTATTAGAAGAGTATCTAGTTTTTCGTATGGTAGAAATATATCTTTGACAATTTTTCTTAAACGATTTCCTGAAAGATCCAGCAGCTGTAAATTAGGCAATTTGATAAGAACAAAGTCAGGGACAGTCACTAATCGCATGTGGTCTGCATGTAAAGTGGTTGCTGACTGTATTCCAGGAAAATCTGGTATAAAAGATCTGTTACCAAGTGACCTTATGTCAACACATTGGATGGTGTTTGGTATTCTCCATAAATCACGTGTGTCTAGAACTGCCGTATTATTATCATCACAAGGCACGCCATTTATAACATTGTATGTCCATGACCTTAAAAGTAGACGGGATAAACATTTATGTCTCCAGTCTCCAACTAACTTTTCTAGAACAATACTTACATACATATAACAACAAACAATACGTTACCCCATACTGAATTCGGTAACAGAGCCGCAATATGTCGCATTGCGCAATAATATGGTTCAGAGTTACGGTGGTTAAATAACGATAGTTTCTGCAGATCTGAGGTTAATAAATATTTCTCTTATCTGGTGCCAGTTTTTAAACGCTTAATCTTTAAAATGTTCGATTATTTTGTCACAAGATAAAAATGTTTTGCAACTTTCATATTTTTTCCGCAGTGTGTACTTATACGAAATTGTAAATGCCTCTCTTATATGGACTGAGACTGAGGGTGTTATTATGCAACTATAACATTTGTTCAATGTTAGTTCTCCCCCAGCCTACTAGCTAGATCGGCAACTTTATATAGTAACCATATTTCGTTTTACACCTTCTTACTAGATATAATAATAATATGTACCTATAGTAAGTACAGGCCCAAATAACTATAGAATATGAAGTAGCAGGGGTGGCCGGTATTTTGCTAGGTAGGGCTTAAGAGGTTTTTGATAAATACTTCCTCTACAGCTGTAATTTGTACCTATGTATTACTGTTCAGTTGGCCAGATTTATATTTTGGAACCATTACTTAACCGTAATTTCCGTGGGGGCAAGACGTACCACGTTAATCGTTATAGGTGGGGCTCAGTCCCAACTGGCCACCCCCTGGCTAGGGGCCCGAGTAGTCCTGCTTTTATGAGCATCTGTGTTGCTAAATATCGTTCTCGTCTAAGTGCGCTAGGGTTATCTAGGTAGGTACATACTTAATTTAGACCTAGCCGTTCTGAAACGAATTCGAGGAAGATGGTATGGGTAGGTATAATAGCACTACGTGACTTATATCCGCCTATTATTACCCCAGAGATACCTCCGGGTACTAAATGTTAGACCCTAAATGGACCGCCAAATGGACGGCCAACATGGTCTATCGAGTATATTTGTAATAATATAGAATTGCGATACACTTAAGAACTTTTCGTATTTATATCTAACGTGCAAATTTGTTTCAGGTTACTCAGCTTCTGCTCTTTTGGCAATCCTTTTTGCTCTCCCTTTTGCGTGGCGCGTTTTAGAGCACCGAGATTTAGGAAGGTGGGAAAGTTCCAGTTTGGCCTTTTACCACGCTCATCTGGAGTTATTCCTCGGAAACGGCTGCCTTGGAGTTGGGGTGATAATGCTTTTGGCGTTAACGTTAGAACGTTATGTAAGTGTTTGTCATCCAGGACATGCTCGTCCACTATTGGGGTCTCCAAACCGTGTGGTTATTTTAATACCGCTGACAACGTTTTTTGTATATCTCCCGGTTGTCTTTCGAAGTAGAGTAACAAACTGCACCATATATCCCGGTGGCTCTAGTTTCTATCGGCGTCAGGATGTAGCTATGATTGTGGAGCATCCTTTATTTAAAATATACACGGTGATTTTGGAAATCGTTTTTAAAGTAATTCCCATAGTTTTATTGGGAATTCTAAATCTTAAAATTCTATTGGTTTATCGAAAATCGTGCGAACGTCGTCGGAGAATGACTATTAATCGAACGCCTGGAATTGAAGATCATCGGAAATTTGCCGAGGAGAAAAGACTGATGCTCTTACTTGGATCTACAAGTATTTTATTTCTTGTCTGTGTATCGCCTATGGTCATTCTGAACGTAACGCTGTCTGAAGTAAATTTAACAAGATATCCTTACCAGGTAGGTATAATGCATGGATATTAATAATGGAAAAACATACTTTTACCCAAAATCGTCATGAATCCTCCATTTTCATGCCTAACTTGTCAGGAAAGTTTAGTTTCCATTTCCGAGGTAGACCGGCCGCACCTGTCACATTGCTAAATGTCTGTATCGGTACCTAATGACTCCTGTCATCACTGACAAATTGACAATAATTGAAATTTTATATTAAAATACGATTTCGGGTAAAATTGAATACAAAACTCGTCAGTAAAATGACACTACGTGAATCGGAAATTAAAGTACTCGGTACCAAAATATTTCCTTGTCAGTAATGTGTCATCTTCCTGACTTTTATGCGAAATAACTGCTACACAATTTCACACCGCAACGTCCCGAACAGGGTGGGTAAAACGCGGGTACCTAAATAATTCACTACTTTTGGACCTGTTCACTATTTGATGTGGATATGATTGGTTATCTGGAAGGGGCTCTTTCGTTACGACTTCCTTCCTCGTCTCAGATCCCAAACCGCTAGGAATTGGTGCATCCCATTTCCTAGGTTGGCGCGTTGGTCTTTAACTAGCTAGTTCCAATTGTAAATGTAGGTAACTGATGCGAAGCTACATATAATCTGACCGATTGATAATTACGAGGAAGAGGAGAGGGGCAAGTTAACGAAGCTATTAATAAATACTGATTTGAATCTGAACGCGCGCCTTCCTATTTATCTATCATAAGATTGAAATGTGTGTCCACATCTGAATCCAGAGATTTTACCCATCAAGTTCCTGTTCGGGGTCTGATGCAGTGTTAATAACCTAGCTCACTCTATATTACCTATACTATTTATTTACAGGTTTTCAGAGCGTTGGCCAATCTACTGGAAGTAACTAATTATTCAATTACATTCTATATATATTGTATGTTTTCGGAAGATTTTAGAAACACTCTTTTAAGAACTCTGCAATGGTCTAGCGGAAACCTCCAAACAAGCGGATTTAGTAAGGCGACACCGCCAACGGCTACAACTACAACAACGCAACACCGCAGTGTCTGATACAAGATTGCGGGCGGTCACAGTGCCGCCTTCGTTTGAAAGAAATATTCCTATGTGGACAATAATTTTACCCTAGTCTATTATGTATTATCTGGGAAACTAATGCAAATTAGTTTCCGAGCATTTTTACATTTGGTTACCTTTTACTGTGCTATCAAAAATGAGATGCTGTCGAGTCATCTTTGGAACTTTTGTTTACATGAGAAATCGTACTTACTTAACTTGAACTTCCAAAGGCGACTCGACAGCAACTCATATTTGATCGCCCGTTATAATAAATCGCGGCAGAAAGAAGAGAGCGAATTGGATTGTGAGTGAGAAAGAAGTATGCATACCTACTCACGCTTGCGTAAATAACGAAATGTTAGGGAACTTCCGGTGCAACTGGAAGTTTTTACAAAATTGAACAATTTTAGCTGAAACGAGCTCAAGGAATTACTAACTCGCATGTATACACTGTTACATAAATATAGTTGCATTAGTTTCCGTTCGATACCAAGGATGCTATATAATACCTATATACATATATATATAGGACTCTACGCCTATTTTATATATAATATAGTGGACCCGGTTGCGACGTCGGATTTCCATTTGTTCTTTGTTTTTTTTTCTCAGCAACGATAAGGAGTTAATGGTTGGACTGGTTTTGGGGTATGTCCGTATGTCCCGTCCGATTTTGCAAACATTTTTTCAAAATCTTCTTTAAAAAACTTAAAACTCTGAACAAGGTATGATAATAATATAATACATGATTTCCAAGGTTCGTAATATTGGTGGAAATACGTATATTATTACAGCCAAATATTGCACATCAGCGTCCCGGCATTTTTGTTACAAACACTGAAACAGTGAACAGTGATGCACAAACATTTATTACAATTCAGCAGATTATAACAGTGAATTCTGGCAGCCAGGTTCGTTAGTGACGCCACGAACATAGATATCTGCCTATCCTATGTTATATAGCATCCTTGGCTCGAAACTTTGTAAATGCCCATAATAGTTATGCTGTGATACTACCTATACACCAAAACCTCACCTATTTACATGTATGGATTCATGTACGCAAATATTTCAATAAATTTAAACCTTAAATAAAAATAACAACAACCGCAGTAAAATTTTCTCTGTACAGTACGTATAACTCGTTAGGTATAGGTACTTATGAAACTGACCATATAGGTATTATTGTTATTTGTTGGTGAGAAATTTTAGAACAATTTTGTACGCAAAACTTATATAAATTATAATTATGTATGTTAACTGTATATAATATAGATCAGCTTTCAATGTTCATATTTAGGTAACATACAGGGTGATTCCTATAGTACCTGCCACCGTTTGGGAGCGTATAGGGGGTGCCTAGGGGAGTATTTTGATATAGGACACTTGGGGTCGGAAATCTAAAATAAGGGCGCCAGAACCAAATTTATCTTCTGGAATTTCACGCCTGTATGTAGGCAACCCAACCGACCGACGTTTCGCGCGGAGCGATGCAGAGCGAGTTAGCGCGAGGAAGCGACATGGGAGGGAAGGAGGGAAAACGACAGTCAAAAGCAATAACGTTTACAAGTGTTCAACGTGGCCACCGTTGTTCTCAATGCACTTCCTACATCTAGCCAACTATTATTATACTATTGCCATAGTGTTTATTCACTTGATACGCGTCGTTGCAGACGGGATTTCGTGGGTTTAAACAAAATTCTGATCAAGTGTCAGCCACACATCGCCGCCTGAGATCGCTCCGTGTGCACCGCCGGCCGGTTGGGTTGCCTACCTACAGGCGCGAAATTCCAGAAGGTAAATTTGGCTCTGGCACCCTTATTTTAGATTTCCGACCCCAAGTGTCCTATATCAAAATACTCCCCTACGCACCACCTACACGCTCCCAAACGGTGGCAGGTACTATAGGAATCACCCTGTATATATTTATCTAATAAATTTTTTAATTTTTTTCCACTACGTTTTGAACTTAACCTTCTTTAAAGGAAGGCTATGGCCGCATAGGGTCTGTTCAGGGAGCATTGAAGTCCCAAGATATTTACCTAGAAAACTTTAAATATGTGAAATTGACGCTTTATTAAATTTTAATTCACGCTTAACGTTATCAGTTCTTCTAATTGAGCAGCACAATTTACTCTTATAAATGGTAATTTGGTTGAATTGAAATTTGCATGTGTAAAAGTAAAAAAAGAGTGGTCTCTTCTATAAGTCTTCGTATGAAACTCGATGTCTTGAGAAGTGTATGAGCAAAATTGAACCATTTTTACATGACGTGCGTAAGAATAATGTACGTAGGGCGAAATTTTATAAACGAAAGTATCACAAATGAGGTATATACTGTATGAATTAAGTACCCAACTCATACATAAATAAATAAATCTTTATTGGGAGAACCGAGCTTTTCTTTTGCTGCTGCTCCTTCACGCTCATCTTATATTTATTTATACACAATGATTGTCTCAAATGATCTTACCATACAGATATTTTGTGCGCATCCTGTACATGGTTTCTAGTAATCTTGGTAACGGTGAATTTACCTTCGAATTTACACAGCGTTTGGCAGCACTGCGTATGTTTTGTGGTTGCAAGACCGGCGTATTCACAAGTGTGCATTTGTTTCCAAACAACAAATAATAATTAATTGTTTTAAAACCTTTTTGCTTTAGTAGGTGTATTTCTTCGGTAAGACATTTATACATGGCAGATATACTGCGGAAATGTAAGTAGATAATCACATTTTTATCCAAATGTAATTAGATAATAAAATTCAGCTCCATCCAAGGTTGGTTTACCAATCGAAAATGGCACAGAACCATCAGCTCCCATTACGAAGAAGGGCATTCTTACATCTTTCAAAACTGGAAAAGCGATGAATATTCCTGATTCTGATGTTGTAAGTGTGGCCTATGGAGATGCACACTTGCATATTCCTGAAAGTCTTGTGAAATTAACATAATCAGTCATTTACTAATTAGCCACATAAGCATATCATGCACTTAAGTGGATGCTGAACATTTTCCATCAGAATAGTTTGCAACTGTGATAAGGATTAACACGGTTTTAAAATTTTAACCAGATCCAACATTGCGCTTTGCAAATAAAAGAACGGGTCCTTTAAAGCAATTTGAACAAAATTGTGGCAATCCTTATTATCTATATCAGTTAATTGCGTTGAATCCCATTCTGGCAATTTGCACCGTTTTGCTGACAGAAGCAGGAATCGTTTTTTGCCAGAATTAAGTGTGATGCTACTTTACATACATTTAAATGATTTTTTTTTAGCTGGGTCGTTGCAGATTTGTATCAGAATTTGAGAAACTAAATCGAATCGGCGAAGGAACGTACGGAATTGTGTGTAAGTTTTTTAAGGTGACAATACTAAATTAATACTCGGAAATATTCAAATAAGTAACATTTTCACAAGAAACAAATAAAAGAAAAAGTACTCCCAAGAGTAATTATCTTACATAAAGGACCCAGTTTAGTTTGTGTGTCATAATAATTTTTATTTGGACCTGTAGCATAATTATTATGTGAATTAATACTTTTATAATGTTTGAAGATGCATAATTGTAAATTCATCTGTTAAATTATTCGTCTCACTTTGTTTGGTGTACGTATCAGGCGTTACTTACACTCTTGTTTTTATAGATAGGGCAAAAGACACAGCATCAGATAAAATAGTAGCCCTAAAGAAAGTTAGAATGGATTTAGAACGTGATGGTATTCCTGTTAGCAGTTTAAGAGAAATTCAAGTACTTTTAAGTTGCCGTCATGAAAATATAGTACATTTGAAAGAAGTTGTTGTGGGGCGCAGTCTTGAAAGCATATTCTTGGTGATGGAGTATTGTGAACAAGATTTAGCTTCTTTACTGGATAATATGCAGACCCCATTTACCGAATCCCAAGTTAAATGTATCATGATCCAGGTTTTACGTGGACTTCGTTATCTCCATTATAATTTCATTGTGCATCGCGATTTAAAGGTGTCTAACTTACTTATGACCGATAAAGGTTGCGTAAAAATAGGTACGAACCCTTTCTTTTATGTAAGTCGTTTTTATTGAAAGAGGTTTTGTTGCTTGCAGCCGATTTTGGTTTAGCACGTTGGTTTGGAGTTCCGCTAAAAGCAATGACTCCGCATGTTGTAACATTGTGGTACAGAGCTCCCGAACTCCTATTACAGGCGCCAACACAGACAACCAGTGTTGATATGTGGGCAGCTGGCTGTATATTAGGCGAACTTTTAGGTCACAAGCCCTTACTACCTGGTCGGTCTGAAATACAACAATTGGAATTAATTGTTGATTTGTTGGGCAAGTACTTCTTTTGATGTACATTTTATGATAGCGATATGCATTTTTAGGTACACCATCTGATGCAATTTGGCCCGGATTCAGCAAATTACCAGCTTTGCAAAACTATACTTTGAAACAGCAGCCCTACAATAATCTAAAGCAACGTTTTCCTTGGTTATCTGCTGCAGGTTTAAGGTTATTGAATTTCTTGTTTATGTACGACCCACGAAAAAGAGCAACTGCGGAGGAATGTTTACAAAGCAGTTACTTTAAAGAAGCCCCAACACGTAATATATTCCAACGAATAATTTATGCAGTTTATTTTTTTGATAAATGTTTTAGCGTGTGATCCTAAGTTAATGCCCACATTCCCTCAACATAGAAATATTAAAGGGAATAAAGTCAATGCTCCAATGGAAAGTAATGCGAATACAGGTGCAGGCGATCAGACCAATAATTTACCGGCCATTTCAGATTTGGTAATCATTAATTTTATAAAAGTAGATGAAGATGTGGCAGCACAATCGAGTGCACGTGTAGCTAAATCAGATCACACATTGACTGTCGATCTTCCTACTTTCCAACTATTATAATGAATCCATCCCTTTTCTGACACTAAATGATTATGATAAAAGTTTTCCCTTTTTGTAAATTTAAATTACAGCTGAAAGCCTGATTCTGTCTCTTAAGGATATTTATGACAAAATCCATGGGCTTCCGCTTCTTCCTTACTCCCAACTGTTCTACCATCTTTTATTTGATTATGGCAAGTCGAGGATGTTTTGAAATAAATTGCAAATGTGACAAAATCAATACTAGCTAAAAATCCTTTTGGCAACCTAATGTGTATTTTATTTATACAGGGAGGTGCCTAGTGCAACGCAGCATAGGAATTTCAATGGTAATTTCTTTATAGTCAATTACTAGCTCCCCTAATTATTTTAGAGCAAAAGCCTAAATACTTTTTTTTTAGAGAAAAAAATGCTGCATCTGTTCATACTATTACTTATAATTTTCCATTTTTCAAACCCGTAGAAATCGAGAACTTAAAAAATTACATTTATATAAATCAGTGATGCTTTGGAATCTTTTAACAAATTACAAGCGCATCGCATCATAAGTTATCGTTGTTTGACGTCGAACGATTTTCATATTTAATTCTGTTTCAACTAACCGATGCAATAAAAGGCATCTTAGGGTAATGTTTTTTTAGATAATGTGCATCAGATACTATTTGTTTATCATTTTCCGAACCAGAGTACCTACATCATCGAAGAAAAAAAACTGATTTGAAGTAGATTTGTTCTTAAACTTATATTCGGATTTTCCGCTACACTGCAGTCAAAATGTTGTATGTATTATCATTTCCCTGATGGTTTTGACGGACATTTTGAACGTTATTGCACTTGCAGTTCTTTAACTAATTTATAAACAAGTATAAATTTAATATACGTCAAAGGCAAATAATGAAACGTGATCGCTGTTTTTTTAGGTAATTCCAATGCATATTTGATTTATTGTAAAATGAACCTTTTTATTTTGGCGATTTCTACGGTTTTGACAAATGGAAAATTATAACTAATAGTATGTACAGATGCAGTATATTTTTCTCTAAAAGAAACGTATTTAGACTTTTGCTCTAAAATAATTAGGGGAGCTAGTAATTGACTATAAAGAAAGTACCATTGAAATCCCTATGCTGCGTCGCGCTAGGCACCACCCGGTATAGGTATTCCTAATCTTGGAACATTTCATATCCTGATGTATAAAGATTACCCACAAACCACGACTCATTGATTATAGTCATTTGTGAGATTACTTCAATGTGAATCTGCAAATTTTGTGCAACTACACTTTGGTGTGCTGCCAATTATCTTAACTACGGATTGTAATAATTGTACTCTAACAACCGTTCTGATTAAAGGCTCAGTTAACAATGCGATTGGTTGAAATTTGACAATTCATAAATCGTGTTGAACAATCAAGCACAAGACTCGATCGTATACAGTGCAATCTCTTGACTCCGAATGCGCTAAGGTCACAATGATAGTCCACATTTTTGTTTGTTTAAAAGTATTCTACATGTGTATTTTATGTATTCTATATATTTTTTCATTCATGAGAATTTCCGCTGTTTTTGAGTAAAAAAATTTCTTTAACATAAAATAAACGTGTCCAAGTTATTAATGTCCATTCCACACTTAGTCTACTATGTTCAGTAATTCGGACACATCTCTCGCAGCTAATTGTCCGGATTAATGAGGTTGCACTGTAATTTAATCATATGTCGTGTTTAACACAATGTTAAAAGATCGGCTATAAATAATGTAGTTTCATGAGAACTTGAAATTATTCTATGAAGTGAACTACTTATTTCTGGTTTGATAAACATGAGGTAACATCTTGACTTGTTTTTATTTGCCCATTTTACAATCAATGGTTAAAAATTGTAGAAGGGAAAATACCTTTTTCTGAAACTACTTTAGAAACAACTACTTTTGTGTCTAAATAGGGTGAATTTTCCTCTCTAGTGTGGAAAGTAAAAAACAATTGCTGCGTTAATCTTAATAATGACATTTAAAATTCAAACATACCAGTACCTAGATTGCTATGTGTGAAACTTCATTATTACATATGATTATTTTCAATTTTGATTGTAGTTTCAGAAAAAATTATGTGTAAAACTTGAGAAGTAATCTTCTCTAGTTGTACAAAACTATTCCCTTTAATCAAATGGGATCTGACATTCTCATATTTTAATGGTTTGTAAAATTGGTGTTTAATTATTCCTCATGGAATAGGTCAATACTAATTTATACATTTTTGAAATTTCAGTTGGGATCTCTGGTGAAGAAGCGAAGAGTAGAATAAAATGACGTTATATTATTTTACTATTAACTGTACATGATAAATGTCTAGTTTCATATTTGAGGTAATTGTAATATTATTAGTACATTTTGATAAAATTGTAATCATGTTGTATGTAGCACTGATTATATTAATAATATGTAAGTGCTGAAAAGGTTTGTGCATTTCATGTAAACACAATTTTGTGGTGAACAAGAGAAAGTGCATATACCTATTCCAAATTATTTGAAAACATAGGTAAATCGACGTTTACCATCTTTATGCAATAATAAAGTTTTGATGTAATTAATACTACTTTTTGAGACTCCTAAAGATCTGCAATCCTCCATACGTGTCCCGCATGTATGACGAGCATTTTTGCGGTCAGCGCCCTCTGTTGCGTTTCTATACGACTATCGTACAAGGATTTTTTCAATGGTGTCAAATATGGACTCCTTATCGCAAGGCACCGAAAATCAATCAGTCGCGAAGCGTATTAAATTGGAGCCAAATAACAAAAATGCGGGTGTGTTGTGTAACAATAGTTATTTTTCTAATAATTTTGCAACCCCTACACGACTTGTTGGACAAATAAAAGGTAATTAAAAAAAAATATGTTTGCTAACATTATTAAGACTCATGCAAAATGGCGAATTGTACGTGGAAGACATTTTGTAGGCGTGGCGTATTTAATGTACAAAAATTATTATATTATTAAAACTTGATATTTGTAAGTAAAACGAAATAAATGCTTCAAATTTTAATTTATTATAATTTACAAAATCATATACCATACAAGGTAACTTACATGGAGAATTCAAAGCACAGTATACATATGTTGGCATTTCTGAATTCTGTTGGTATCCACTGCAGTTGTAGTGGCGGTAAAAATAGGTGTACAAGTTGTTTTACCATCGCAAGTACCTAAGCTGTGGTTGTAGCTCCACAAAAACCCAAACACCATTTACAAAGCCCTCCCCAAAGTAAACTCGTATTCTCGTACTCGTACTTACAAATTTATTAGCTTGACATAAAGTAAAATACTAAAAATTATGGAAACTATACAAAAACAAAATTAACACTGATTTTCGTGTTTTTATAACACTTCTGTTTTATGCCAAACAATTTAAATTTAACCTTTCGATTCTCGTATAAATTAAAGTGGTCGAACTCATTGCAGGCAATTATATTTTCGAGTTTAATAATGATCATTAAAGGTATATACAGAGAGAATATATACATACAATCTCTATGTATCCTACTATGCTGTCAAGTCACCTTTGGCATTTTTATTTACAAAGGAAATCATACTTAACTTGAACTTCCAAAGGTGACTCCACAACAACCCTTTTTTGATCGTCCGTTATGATCCACCCATCAACAAAGCATTACAAATTTTTAACCTGATTTTAAGGCACGAAAATATGACTTACTGTCCAAATGCCACTCAAAATTTGGAAATTTGTTTTGTTGTAATCTCTGAGCATGCATACAAGGGGTTATACCTAATACACAGTGTTCCAACAAAATTTGTACCCCTCTAAAACTCGGTAAAATACATGTTGAGACAAAAATGCAAAATCTAGCCTATGTATATGTCGACGGGGCCAATTTTTATGCAAAAATAATTCTTGCCACTTTAATCTTGTACTCGGGGACGCATCATTCCCCAAATTTTTAAATGCGATAAGAGGTCAAATAAGACATACAATTTGGAAGTGATTTTCATTATTTACACAACTGTTTTTATTGTAAAAAAATACGGTATTTTTGAATTAACAAGGGGTTGATTGAGAGGAAATAAAGAGAGAAGTATGATTATCAAGAGTCAACTGTATACAGTATATTTTTAAAAATTGTTAAAACCCAAAATAAAATGTTTTGTTTTATAATTTCAATTGTTTATCATTTTTAACGGCCTACTAATTACTAAGAGCTTATGACCACTGACCAGTAACATCACATCTATTTAATACTTTTTGGATATGTATTTTTATTTTGACATCTGTAAATGCCTCTTTGTAGCATATTAACAGAAACTTATTATTATTACTTGTCTGGTAATAATACTGAGCGATCGAAGGTTAAATAAAAAAAGACCCTAATATATATGTATTATCTCAAAATAATATTTCTGTTTATTACATCTAATATTACCTATTATTGTCGATTAATTGCAGATAATACTTCCGATACAAGTTTATGTACAAACTTAATGCCAAAACATGAAACTTCAACAGATGTGTCGCCTAACACTACATTGGAGTCTTTACAAGATGGTTTTGAAGGGGAATTAGATGATGATAACACATCAACAATTAGTAACTTGAGTGAGCTAAGTGGATTATCAGAGTTGTCTGGTAAGGATTGGAAACCGATGGCGGGGAGTCTTGTGTGGGTAAGTTTGCAAAATTCATATTGCCCTCTTAGAAAGGTCTAGGACTTTAAAGTTCAAATTTAGGGGTTTAAATTTGGAATTCGGCATCTAAATTTTGCAGATTTTAAAAGTCTGAATTTAGAGTAACTTTCTGATTTTAATTTTTAGATTCAAAAACAAATGCAAAGTGGTGTTAATCCAAGAATGTTACTAAATGAGTTAGGAGCAGATGCCGATCAAATTCCTCAACGTGTTGACGACATTACACTATGGAAAATCATTATAAACATGCTAGCCGAACCACCTCGTCGTCATAAGCTAAGAAATGTTAACACATTGGATGACGTCTTACGTTTATTGAAAGCCGCAAAAAATGTTATCGTGCTAACAGGCGCCGGTGTGTCAGTATCCTGTGGAATTCCCGATTTTAGATCGCGTGATGGCATTTACTTACGTCTAGCTGTGGATTTCCCAAATTTACCAGATCCTCAGGCAATGTTTGACATAAACTATTTTAATCAAGATCCTCGGCCATTTTATAAGTTCGCTAAAGACATATATCCCGGAAATTTTAAACCTAGTCCTTGCCATCGATTTATTAAATTATTAGAGAAACACAGTAAACTATTACGTAATTATACCCAAAATATTGACACATTGGAAAAAGTCGCAAATATTGAAAAAGTAGTAGAATGTCATGGCTCGTTTGCTACAGCGACGTGTACGAAATGCGGACATCGCGTGACGGCAGATGTTATTCGAGAACCCATTGTCAACCAAAAAATTCCACTTTGTGAAAAATGCCATAGCGAAGTACCTCCATTTCTTCATCCCGACGAGATCGAAAAGGAGGAATTACATACTTTAGCCTCATCAGGAATCATGAAGCCAGATATTGTTTTTTTTGGGGAAGGATTACCAGACGTATTTCATGAAGCCATGGCAGAAGATAAGGGCAATTGCGATTTATTGTTGGTGATTGGAAGTTCTCTAAAAGTACGACCTGTTGCATTAATACCAAGTTCTCTTCCATCTGAAGTACCACAAATATTAATTAATAGGGAACCTTTATCACATTGTAATTTTGATGTGGAGCTGCTTGGTGATTGCGATGTAATTGTAAATCACATTTGCCAACAGTAAGTATCAGAACAATTGTAACACAATTATAAGAGAATATGTAATCTGATGACTTGCAGCAGCTTTGCAGTGTGACCAGAACGTAATAAACAATTGATGACATATTTTGTCACTACAAATTGAACACTCTTTCAAGCTGTTCATTTAGTCTGTATATTTTGAGTTATATGTTATAGGTATCTAAATGTTATATACCTACCTTAGTGGCGAATGATGTGCATGTGTGTGAAAAAAGTATATCATGTTTTAAACTAACAACCCATGTAGTTAAAACTAAAGTGGGTATTTTATAACCACACCTATTTGCAAATCCTAAAGGAGCAAAACTGTAGCAAGGCATTCAGAGAAACAACAGTCCTTTTTTTGACATATACAATATGGTACTTTAGTAGTATCCATTTATTTGAACCGAATGCAAACATTAATAGCGCTAGTAATTGGCCACAAGATGACTTATCTTTAAACAAAATTGAATTTAATTTTCAATTGATTGAATTATTTAATTATAAGGATAATGATGTTAAGTTAGTCTGTCATCTAAGTAAAAAAGACTTATCTCCAGTCTTTAAAGTTTTTGAATACATTTCCAGAAATGTAAGTCTGGGGTTGTTTTACACCTATTTCCTTAGGAGACATTCTAAGCAAGATTATATATTCAGTTATGAAGAGTTCATGTAGTTAAAACAACTCAAAAACTCCAATCCAATCAATAACCTAACAAAAATGAGATAGGCCCTTTTGCTTAAAGACAGCACTACGAAGTAGCAATTGAAATCTATAAGTACGTAACTGAGTTCCTGCGTACATGAAATGTGACTACTGTTTTGTAAGAACCCAAAAAAGAAAGAACAGGTTTATGAATAATGTAGGTACTTCATTATTTATCATTAAAAGGGCACCGACAAAAAATGAATATTGTAGTAAACTCATGTTCAAATAGATATCATTCCTAGTAATTGAAATATTTGGGTTTGTTAGTTAGTCACAAGTGACACCATTTTGTGTAGAGCATTGTTGTACCTAAATGCAAAGACGCCACAGTAGTTTGTATGCAGTCTTCCAATAGGAACTAGCAGGTAACATTCATTTTGGTCTAAATATCAGTTACTGCACTGTCTCCATAATCGTGCCACCTAGAGGACTAATTCACAGTGTTGTGGATAAATTTGAGTCCACAACATGTTGCTGCGGCTGCGGCGGACCCTATATTAATTTTCTGATTCAATTTTCAAGAGGCAATAGATTTTGTGTCTAATTTAAAATATACAATTTCATTATGATGGTGTTTAAAGACCCATCTTTCTTAGTATAATTTCTTAATCTACTACAATAGGTCTAAATCCACTCAAAATAACAATTTCACTGACTATTTGCAAATAAGCCAAATAAGTTCTGTGAATCGATCATTATACGAACTGCGTGAAAGCTAGCTTTACCAGCTTGTGACTTGAGATTGGCTCTCACTGTAGCAAAATTCGGTTGGTGCCCTTTTAATAAGTAAGTTTGTATGTAACAATAAAACATACAAAAACTCTCGAGACTTTCAAAGTGCAAGTAGTACTACTCATTGACATTATATTCATTATTGAGATTTTAAGTATTAAAACTCTTTTAAATTAATCGTTTGGGTTCCCTAGCAAAAAATGTACAAATGTTAGTGTCCAAGGGATGCACTGTGGTATTCTGGCGAAGTTGTGACAATGTTAGATTATAAAGGGTCAGAGGCCAAATACTAGCAATCGCACAAATGTTTCTTGTATATTGCTAATAGTGATTTTATAATTTTTTTTTAGATTAGGTGCACCTTGGCAGGATTGTGTTTACATTGACGAAAAGCTTAATGAAACTGTGCAGTTGCTACCGATTGTCCAGAGTGATACTGACGATCGGTTCTTTGTCCACAAGCCTGAAACTTTAAATTCACTCGGTGGTGACGATGAGATATCCAATGAAAGAAAGTTACCCATTGATGAAGATAAGTGGGATAATTGTGTGGATTTGGATAAACGTCTGTCGGGTAAACAATTTTCTCTTCCGGAAGATGTAATGAAATCGGTGGAATTAAAATCTGTAAAAGAAAGGCATATGTCAGTAGATTCCGCTAGAGATTCTGGCATAGGAGAAAATTCCAATTTTACAGACGAAAAGTTTGAAATATCGGATGAAACTACAGACAACCTCTCCTATGAAGAAAATCGAAAATGTATTCTTAATAATAGACGAAACATCACGGATAGATTACCACCAAACAGTTTTTATTTATTACCTCCTAGTAGATATGTCTTCCCAGGTGCTGAAATATATGATGATACTAATGAAAAGTACACTTACTTTGATGCTGAAACGTCAAGCTCAGATACCTCTGATAGTGAATCAGAAATTGATAATTTTTAATTTTGTTCAATGCAATGCGTAATAGGAAAAATTGTAAATATAATTCTTGTTTTGTACTGTACACATTTTTTGTTTCTGTTTTGGGGTACAAATGATGTTTCTATAAGTTTGGTTTTTGTTTGTTTAATGTTTTACAATATTTTAGTTATGGGAATTAAAAAAAAAAGTATATTGATGAGCAATTCCGTCCAATTTAAAATCTTATAATATTTTATAACCACAATGCAGTGCTGTTTCAAAACAGTTGAACTATTATTTTAAAACAGATATTAATTAGCACAGTGCCTTGGTGTCTTTGATTATTTTAATTCCCATTTAATTATATTGACGCCTGTAACTGTAAGGTGAATATTGGCCGAGAAAGGCTAGTTATGACGTACTCAAATTTTCGACAAAATGAGTCATTTTAAGACTGTCTCATCGTATAGGTAACCATATAAATATAGCTATTTGTAAACTCTGTCCTGGCAAATGTGTGGGTCTGTAAATATTGTACAAAGCATTATAGTATTTTTTAATTGTTAATAATTTCACTTATTTATGATAGTTTTAGTTTTTTTTTAAATTTTATTTATTTAATACCATACACTTTTGTATCGTTCTGTGCAAATGTAAATATGTGTATTTCATATTAAAAAAAACTTCATTTAATCGATGTCATTCAATACATTGAAAATCTTTAGAATCCTAAATATGTGATAATTGAAGAAGTAGAGACTGTGAAGCGTCAGTTTCCATATATTTGAAAATGGGATTGACAAAATTGAGTTTTATTACTCGGACTGAGTGTATTATTATGGAGTGCCTACAACTGCAGGTGTTACCTAGAATAATTAATAGTCATTAAAAACATACGATATATTTACTTTAATCATTACATAAATCAAAATGGATCGCTAAACATATCATTTAATGAGTTGTTTGTAACTCTGGTCTCCTCTCCACAACATGCGTTTATGTGACTGCTTATGTCTTCAAAAGGGAACTGTTTAAAGCAAAGAGGACAATCGTAAGTCTTTTCATAATAAGCCTTCGCCTGAGTTTTATTGATACCAATTTCAAAGTCATCCGTTATGGCATTTAAATTTAAACATACATCTACGTGAGAGTTAATTTCATGTGGCAATACGCCGTTATTGCAAATTGGGCATTTCACCTTCTGTTCCGATTCAATTGAGCTTTTTAGTTCATCAGTTTTCTTTTGTCTTCTTTCGTCAATATTTTCTAAACTTTCTAATGCACTTCTTTTGCTATTGCACGATAAGGGAAATCTTTGTAACCAACTGTTTCGAACAATAGAGTAGTCTGAAGAAGACTGAGATGTTAAATCTATACATTCTACAACTTCAGATTTTGATATAGTTGGTTTAGAGTCAGTCTCTGAAAGTTCCTCTTCTCTTGGTCTCTTATAACCTTTACCTGCTTGAGTATCTACTGGAAAATGATTTCGAATGTCATTTTGTTGTATATTATTTTCCTTAGTCAACTTCTTTGGACGTTTTTCTGGCTCTTTTATCTTAAAAAAGTTTCCTCATAACAAATTTTTAACAAGAATACCTACTTTAACAAAGGTGCCGTTACAACTACTTTTATGCTCATCCCACCAATTGTCATTTGGCCCAGGTGCTCTATTCATAGCACGACGGACCATTCCAAAATATGGCTTTCTATATTGGCAGGGTCCTGTGCATTTCCACCAGTGTTGCTTGTAGAGATTTACTTCGTCATGAAAGCTATGGTAAACAGTTATGTTAGTACCTAAAAAATTTGTTCCTAACTTTAGACCTAATTATTATATAGTAATACCTACCTGCTTCAGTATTAATGCGGTGCATATGTTTTTGAAATTGAGGACCGTGACTGTCGTGATCTTTGTTATTATGAGTGACAAATAAGTAAGCGTGAATCATTTCGTGTAAAAGTGTTTCAATTAAATCTTTCCGTGGTCGTAACTTTAATAAAGGCTCACTTAACGTAATATGGCAGAATCCTCCCGAACCTTGATAACTGCAAATTCCTGCACACGATGTCATACGTTTGCTCCAACTAACACAAACTGTTATTAGTTTGTTCCAAAAATATTTTCCATTGAAAGCCACAAAGAGCAGATGAATGTTTGGTGTAGGGTCAATTAATTCCCAAGATGGGTCTGTTAATGATTTATCATCCTCTTGTGTTGCTTTTCGTCCCGAATAAACCAGACCTTTTCCAGGATTCTCAATCTCAACTTCATGATTAAACTGCTGTTGAAGCAATGAAGCAAATTCGTAATCGCTGGTCTCCGCCATTCTAAAATCTGATCTCCCATGCATGTAGATAACAACAAAACCATATGACATTAATTTTACTTTGAATTTTACTCATAATCATACACCACAGCATACCCACACGAACCAAACCCATATACATACTTATGACCAAACCACCCTTTTTATTTTAATTTTGCACTTTCCATGCGGAAATCACAAAGTTGGCGACATCTATGATAAATTTTTGTAAACTTGGAAAGTAAACAATGGCCCGTATGAATAAAAATAGGCAAATGCTTATACTTGCAAAATTCAAAGTAAATACTCATAACTGCCTCTTCATACTGGTCTGCTTAGCAGCGCTGCATTGCGTCCTGTCCTTCTGCTTAGAATCGCTGCTCAGTCGCCCAGTGCGAAGGAGCACTTATGAGTATTTACTTTGAATTTTGCAAGTATAAGCATTTGCTTATTTTTATTCATACGGGCCAATATCTCACAATCAAATGTACATATGTTTCACTGTTATGCAACCCACCTTTCACACAAATGTGACGGCAGTGTTAATACGCTTTGAACTATTCTATCTATATGGTGAAAACGCCAGTAGCGATTTTCCGAGTCCCCAATACCGCATTTACCTTTCTCTTATCAACACCAAGTCCCTAGGCTCGCATATTCGCTTAACAATGGAAATTAATACCTAAAAAAATTATACTTTGAAAATTGTGGGGAAAATGCCACAAAGTTAAAAAAGTTCAGAAGTCTTCAACCACTGATTTCAATTTTAACTTGAGGTCAGTGCCTTCAACAGAGACAACCACAACTTTTAAACACTAACGTCTCTGTACATACATTCAACCGATGTACACTTTCACTTGTAAAAATTCATATTATTAGTACCCTTACATAACTTTCAGTTACAATTATGCACAGAAAAAGTGTAGGCATATAAACAGACCTAAATATTGTTTTGTAATCGATTTAAATTTTCAACATATATCGCACATAGATACTGTGTGTTTAATGAGTCCCACCACCAGCAAACATCACATAACACTTTGCCACTGGTAAACCACTCTGTATACGAGTGAGTTTTTTTCAAATGTTAATCGGTACTGTCAGCTTTATCACATAACTTTAGTTACTAAAAAACGCATACCTCAGCAAGTTTCTAAGCTACAGATATAATAAAAGTGCAAAATTCTAAGGGGCACCTCATAGTATTGAAATAGAAGCAAACACTCTCAATACAGGTTTTCACTTGTTTTTATTTCTCAAAGAAAACTTACACATAAAATTATTTGTAAAAAGTTCTTCATAGGCAAAGGGTCCCAGGAATTACTGAAACAAAATAATCAATTAGTATATAAACGATACACTAAAAACTCAGAAACCAAATCAAGATCATACGTCTAAGTACATCACACGCCATCAATCAGAACATAAAGCAAATTACTTACTGAACATACCCATTGGTATGTCTTAAGTGCAGATGGCTTATTCTTAAAATACACTTTTGCATTGAAAATTATAGCCAGAAGTAGGATGCGTTACCATTCACCATCTGTACTATAGTTAATAATTTATGATTACAATTTAGTAAGAAAATCACACTGTTAGTAAGTCCACAAACTACAATGCAATTAATGGTAACTAGAAAAAGCAGTTGTTAGATTGTACGGCCGTCACAGTTAATTTCAATAAAACAAATCACTGTAATACAATTGACACACAAGAAAGGAGTCAAATACCTAATGCGGATATATTGCAGATCGTAGAAACCTACTTCCTTCCACCCTGAAAATAATTTACGGAAAAATTGAAATGCCACCCTCAACCTTTTAACCTGTTCAGAAGCAATGCGACTAAACACAATGAAGAAACTTTATACAATTACCTTTTTCGCCGCAGCTCCTACTTTAGCCTTCTTTGTACCACGTACTTTTTTCATCCTATTTTTCCTTTCTTTACGTTGCTTACGGGTCTGTTGTTTCTTTTCGTACAACCCGTGACGTTGCAGTCTATATTTAGGTTCAAATTTTTTTGCAAAATCTAAGGTGTCATATATTAACGCAAACCCTGTAGAGATCCCGCCACCGAAATTGGTCCTAAACCCAAAGGCAAACACTACATCTGGCGTAACCTAAAAAGAGATACTTTGGAAATACAAAAACAAACTGGGGAATGTAAACTAAAATACCTTGTAGAGTTTCGCTAACTTTTCTCGAATTTCGGTTTTTTTAATCGACGGCTGGCCGGGGTGTAAAACGTCCACCACTAACTGCTTACGTGCTAATAGTCTATTTGTCATAAACTTCCTGGTACGGATTGTAGCCGTAGAACCTTCTGCCTAAAATTAGTTCTTTATTAATTAATCAAATGGGTAACTGGAATCATAAGAAAATGTTTGGTTAAGAATCCATCAGGATGATAAAAAAAAGTTTTCCTTTACTCAAATTTGTGTCCTATTATTTAAAGATAGCACCAATTTCAATACTTCAAATGCACATAAAAAACGCAGAGGATGAGGAAGAAAAATTTGGATAAATTTAAACATACCATTTTTGAAATTTTGTGATACAATCAAATGGCATAAAAGAAACAGCACTGTGAAGTTCGCAACCGTGAGAAGGTAGGCCGTGGCTATTCACCCAAAAGAAAGTACTCGATCTGTAACTCCATACACTCTCCGTTGCCGCAATAGGCGCACTTTGACAGCTGACAGCGAGTTTCGTAATTGCTTGAAAATTAGGAATTACGAAGTTAACCTATTTCGCCTTATTTATTTACGCAGCTTAACATTTATAGAGAATTTCATTAAGAAATATGTAAATAAAACAAAATGTGCCAACACTTCTACTCTACATATTCGCAGGGGAGCCCTACCGGGCAGCACTTAGGCACACCAGTGGCCCATTGTGCCCACCCCCTTTCTTTCACAACTCAATTCAGAGCCCGTTCCTCTCAATGAAGGATAGGACCCTGGTTAGCCTAAGTTGCTTCACCCTCCCCAATTTTCCAGATAACTGTCTCCAAGGAGTTTATATCCTGTTTAAAGCGTCACAGTGACAGACCACATGCTCAGTAGTTTCATCTGCCTCGCCACAGAACCTGCACGTGGACTCATCAGCGAGCCCAATGTTATGCAGGTGATAGTTGACCATCCAGTGCCCCGTATAGGACACCAGTGATTCTAATCTGGCTTCTATTCCGATTTACCAAGGGGTCCTGATCGAAGAAACAAATTTGAAAATACCTCTTGCTCAATTGAAATAGAATATATTGTTGTATGACATAAGTAACGAAAAAAGTACGCGCACATGAATTGGCTTCAAAAACAATCCAAAGCCTTACCTGTAGATGTACAATGTTGGTATTTCAACCTCCTTTATGGCTTGGGGCTTTGAAGGCCTTAGGAGACCCGATCCTTTGCATAGGATGTGAGTATGCATGACTTTTATACTTTTTAGTATCACAATAATCTCCCACCATTGCTTATTCTGTACTAATAAGCAGGAAAGTTAAATATATGTTTATTTAAACAGTTTAGCAAAACATATTCATGTAATTATAATATAAACACATATGTACACACTTACAGGATATTAGATTCCTATTATTGCAGCCAGAAAATTTTTAATATTCTTGGAATGCCCCACATTCTCTCACTTTTCAAAAAAATTAGCGTTGCAAACAATTAAAACAAAAAAGCACAAACTTATTTAAATTTTCAAACTGCAATTAAATTTATATAACAAATCCTAAAATTAGTAATCCATACTCTAGCTAGATGCTACTTCGAGATTAGCCATTTTATGTACAGAATCTCAAAATAACATCAGGAACCGATCACAATTTCGCACACCTATTAGTATACAACCGATCTATATTCAGTTACGTTAAAATCACATTATTTGAAATCACAATTATAAATTGGCCTTTTACACAGTATATTCATAAATAATTACAGTTGTTTAATCGCTGACAAAAATATACTTTTATCAACCTTATATTTTCTCAATTGACACGCAATTTCACCAAATTTACAAAAACTTAACGAAATATATACTACCTACTTCTACAGCTATCATTGAAATTTTTATCTTTGAATTGGATCTAAAAAATCCATTTCAATTACTTTATTAATTTTGTCCAAAAGAACATTGAATTTCTTATCCATTTGTTTATCGTGGAAATTGTAATCACTGCTCACAAATCCATTACATTCTGCTCGATGACGATTAGAACACAAGCTTAACGTTTTAAAGAAGCAATGTAAATCCTTCAGTTGCTTTATCGAATTCATAGTAAGTAGAAGTTCATCTTGCTTATTGGGTAAGGTTTCAATTGGCGTATCCAAAAATTTTTGATCCATGAGATTCGCTATTCTTGTAACGTGCGGAGTAAAAATAGGCATTTCTTGTGCTGCTAGCGAAGTTGTATGAGGTAATCTATCACCAACAAAAGCCCAACGGTACCTAGTAAAACCTTTTCGTGAGTACATAAACATTCGAAAGCGTTGAGCAACTTACATTTGAAATTGGGGCAGTGATGTGGCAGGTAAGAGCAAGGCCAAATCTAATAATTTAGCAGTTGAAAGTTGCAAACGGAGCCAATGTGGATGTCCCAACGCATGTAAACCATTGTTGCTGTTTGTAGTCCAACTTGCGTCAAGCGCCGTGAGCAATTTTATGTGAGAGCTGCATAACAAACTGCGTATTACAACAGTATAATAATGGTTTATCGAGTAAGAATTGGTACTACAATTTTGCCTACATATTTCGTGCAATTTGAAGTTTATTTTACACTCACATGATTTGAGATAAGTTTGCCTAACTCATTAAGCGCATTTAGAGGATGAAACAAGAATTATAATACAAATATTGATGATAGTAGTAACTACAGTATTGAAAGGAAATTAGAATATAAAACTATGAGCATATACAAAGATAAGTTCTTATTCCTGTAATAAGTATACTACTAGTTATTTTGAATATATGTATATGGTGTAAATAAAAAGCGAAAAAAAACCTTCAAGTTACTTTACATTGAAGAAAGTAATTAAATATTTAAAAGAAACCGTGATCAAGGCAAAATACAGGAAAGAGAAACACTAATAATATCAAACAAATTGTAATACAACGCAAAAAGTGCTACATATTTGCTTTAAGAGCTTCTTATCACAAATGTGTGGAATTGGATACAGCATGTTTAAGATCTGCTGCAAACTGAATTTTATCATGCTTCAATACACAGTTTGTTAGAATATCATTGTAATTCACGTTGTACCAATTGTTGAATGCCGGTCTTGCTCCCCAAATAATTGTTAAACGTAATTATAATGGTTGTTTGATTATGTTATACAATTTGCGCATCCAATTACCTGTTATTGTTTCTGCTTGGCAACATTCCAGGAATCCCAATATAAACAAACCAAAGTTAGTTACATAGACACAGAAGTATAACCAAAATTTACAAAAAAATACTTCACACATACCTAAATTCTTCCGTATCAGTTGAAAGTTCTTGCTCAATTTGTAAAAATACTTGTAACATTTCACTAATTATAATAGGCCAAAGGAGAGTCACTTGAACAGGCGTCATGCGAAGTAACAAAACTCGAAAGCATAAAAATACCTGGGCTTGTATGCCGGGTACGTTTAAACGCAAACTGCTGTTCAGTTGTTCTATAACAAAAGAATTTTGTATACACTGTTACAAGGTAGGTACATAATTACCTTGTATGTCTGGCATATATTTAGCATACTGATCTGGTTCACTACAAAAAATTACGAAAGATAACCGTTTTAATAACTGAGCTTTTTGTTCATATTCCTGTTCTCGAGAAGTAAATAGATTCAAACTACCGGTTTGAGTCATCGACACGCGACCTACGATACGTTATTAAGAACGAGTTAAAAAATGCGTGAACAATATTACCCATTAAATCCTTAAAGGTGGTATTGTCGTGAGTCATTAAATTATCGACAATTATTTTCCAATATCTCAAACAAGAATGATCCATTTGAAATAACGAGTTATCAAGTAGCAAATCAAAAACATCCTTCTTCCAAGCTTTACGAGTATATTGATAACTACTTAAGCTAGCTAATAATTTGGAGCAAGCTAAAAAACTGGGCATGTTCCGTAAAGTATGCGTTTTTAAATATGGAACAATATTGTACATTAAAGATGTAAGAATGGGATTTACTTTGTCCTTCTCAGAAGAACCGAAACAGATATCTAAAATAGGCGCTAATATTTCAGAAAGAACCTAAAAAAAAAAGACTGCTTCAGAGTAAGTACAACACAATCGTCTTTACCAGTTGAGCTTGTACGCTGTGATTAGAAGTAACCAAAACGTCAGAATTGGTCATATTATTCACAACATTTGCAGAACTGTCAGTTTCTTGCTCCCTAACTGCTAAATTTCGTCTAAGCCACGTTGTCTGTTCCAAGCACGAGCCACAAACTTGGGATATACAATCGATTAACTGAAATAGGTAACGTATAACGCGATATAATGCAATATTTCACTTACTCGTGCGGTGACGTCTTGTAAATCTTTTTGATCTTTCCTCTCCTCTAACGGACAACACTTTATCATCAATTCATGAAGTAAAGCGGCCAATAAAAATTGCGAAGGAGGGCCTAAAGAACAACCTTCCCTAACCAAGGTCAGTAAAGAACTCCATGCTTCGGATAATTGAGTTGCAGATGCATTTCTCATATAACTTCAAAATCATTTATTTCAAATATTGCTCTAAATCTAAACGAAGGCCTTACCAATAAAATAATTCTAAAACCGCAACATCAAGACAAATCTCGCTATTAAGACCTTCAATGGGAGGCGGATTACGAATCACAGCAGTAACGGTCTGTACCAAATTATCTAAAGGAATTACTCTTATGGCAGATATTAAGTATACTAAATTATTCTGCGCCGAATTGGCTTCCGGTAATATCTGAAATACGTAAATTGAACTACAAGGTATGGGTAAAGGTGACAATAACTTACAGCTTTCAGCGAAATAAAAGGATTTCTGCGTTCATGCCAAGCAACCGCAATGGCTGCTAAAAAATTTGCTCCGTGATGTATAGAAATTGGACTCAGAAACTCTAGCAACTGCTGCTTAACAATTTTCGAATTCCCGTATACCGCGCTAAATTCACCTTCAATTGAAATAATAGTTTGCCAAATTTTCGCAATACTAGAAACAATACGCGGCATGTGGCTTAGCACAGTTTTTCTAGCTGTCTGATAGAAGTTTGAGTTTTGCTTGTTAGCATGATTAAATTCACCGGTGCCCGTAAAAAAAACGCTGACTAAATTGTTCAGAATTTCTGTAGGATTGGCAATCGGGGTACTAGGTGTGCTTCCGCCTGGTTGAGATGAACACTGAGTTGAATCCACTAAGCAATAATGACACAAAATTGTCAACGAATTTATCTGTGTAATTGCGTAATCGACACAAAATTCCCCCATTAACTCTACGTTTTTGTATGTATCCGCAATTTTTTCTATGTTATTGCAAAGTTGATGTATTATACTAATGGTAATTTGTTTCAAATTTTGACCAAAATATGGCAAACAAGTCGTCACCATATTGCACCAGCTTTCGTGCAAGTATTTCATATTTTGGTGACGAAGGGCACTCATAATGGCTGACAAAAACATCTGCTGTTCGGGTATTAAAATGGTCGGCGTGTAGGTCAACTGTTTGCCTACAGATGTAGGGACCGTTTGCTGCAACGTGCTGTTATTTGTATCTTGTTTCGGGAATACACGATGTTCCAGTATTATAAGAGACTGAATTAATCTAAAAGTTAATATTAATTTAAATACTCACTTTACGGAAACTTTTACCTGAGCAATTGAATTTGAAAAACTTCAACATTTTCGGATACTCTGTGATGAGAATCGTATAGCTGGAAGCTGTTAAATTGTAAAATCTCCTCCGCGAATGACATATCTTCGTCAAAGTTTCTGACGGAAGTTAATAAACAGTGAAGTAAATCCTCTTGTAATTTACATTTCATGAGCATATCGGCAATATAACTCGAAAAGCCCTTCGAATTTTCATTAACATTATTGATAATACTTCGAATAATGATATCCAATACTTCAAGGCTTACTAACTGAACTCTCAAATTCTTTTCAATTTCTTCTTGTGTTAAATGTGAACTCTCAAGATGTGGATAAAATGTTTTCGCATAATTTAAACAAATCAGGATTACAATATCCAAAAACATGTATCCTCTATAAAAATTAATGTGCTCTTGACCAACTTCTCCTATAAATCCGCCACCAAGCAGAGATTTACGATGTCTAGCCAGCAGAAGTAACGTATCGTTATGTTTCAAATTTTGCAATCCAGTTGTTGCGAGACATTGAACAAACAGTTGAGGATTTGTTTCAATACAATTCTTTAGGGTTTGTAATGCATATAATATCACATTCGAATCGTATACATTGTAGTACAGACATACATGATAGTGTATTGGATAGACCGAAAAATGTTTTGCGTCTTGTTTCCCACTTACATCTGAAAAATTGCAACCATACTATTATTATTATTATTATTATTACCGAAATTGTTACTTTTTGATGATTATTGATGTACGAGGTGGTGACTTGAACAACGCACCACAGGAATTTCAATAGTAATTTTTTTATTTCTGATTATTGGCTTCCCTGATTATTTTAGAGATAAAGTCTATTTAGGTTTTTTGTAGAGAAAAAAATTACGAATCCACGAATACTATAGCTTTTAATTTATTGAACTTTGAAACCAAGAATTGGATAACTTAAAACTGACGCTTTTAAGAAACTCGGTGGTGCCATGACAGTTCGAGCTCAAACAAAGGCAACTAATGGTAAATGCAGGCGCTTTTGTTTGATTTCATAATTCCATGGCATTACTGATTTTATAAAATAGGAAACAATAGTATGTACCTACTACGGATCCGTAATTTTTTTTCTACAAAAAACGTAAAGACTTTATTTCTAAAATAATTAGGGAAGCCAATAATTGGAAATTAAAAAATTACTATTGAAATTTCTACGGTGCATTCGTCAAGTCACCACCCCATATGTCCAAAACGCTGACAATCACTATTTTAATCGATTCCCCAACACATTTGAAATTGTGTAAAAAGACTAAATTTACAATGAGCTAACCCACGTTTTCGATTTGTGTTGTATATTTTGGCACTATGGTCATCGGCGTTTTGAAATAAATTTGGTGAAATGTTTAGTGGGACAAAAAGCAGATATCAGCTTACACGTGATGTGAAATGTGCAGATTTTAAGAACTTACTTGTTTGCTCATCAACACCACCGTCGGCTAGACAAACATTAGTAATAATGTCGTTTACCAACTCTGATATAATAGCGTGATCTCCACCATGAAAAAATTCTTCAGCCGTTGTGCTGAGTTCCATTTCACAATTTAGTCGCTCCGAGTCTGATAGACAGTACGACCAACTGTGGACAAGATTATTTTCAATGTCTTCTAATTTTTTATCATTTGTTTCATCAAAACTTCGAGACTTTCTCATTTTTAATAAATCCGTTTGTTTGTCACTAATGCCATCAGCTGTATGTTTTTGAACATTATTCACTTTACTCTGTTCTACACCTTCACTTTTGTATAGAGGTAACGAATTATTTTGCAAATCACAACTGGAATCACGATCTAAAGTGTTAGAATATTTTAAAGATTTTATCAAGAGCTCTCCGCTGTTTTGTGTCAACTCCGATAAACTTTCTGTAGAAGAAGGTTCTGAATCTGAAATTATATGAGTCTCTGTATACATTTATTATAAATATATGTTTACTTACTAGCGACATTGGGGTCATCGCTAATTTCAAATTTGCTGTATGAACCTGTGATTCCATATGGATAAATTTCCTTCGAGTTCAAAGGATTAACAAACAGTTGCATGCTGGACTTACTGTCTACATCGGCAATTTTCCTATTTTCCAAGTTTTTAAAATCTTCATTTTTCTTTGTTACAACACTCGAGTTTTCCGTAATACTTGTCGTCATATCAATAACATTGGTGCTCTTTTTTCCAGCTTTAGAAAACAAGAAACTTTTTCTTTTTATGGGTTTTAATGCGGAATCTTCGGAAATGTGAAATTTGATTTCTCCGTTAATGTGGCTTATAGCGTATGCCTTAGTCCAGTTATCCACATTGGCAGTTTTTTGAGAAGTGGCGGCTTCATTCAAATCTTCTTTACTAATATTTATGTGGCGAATAGAAATACGTGCAGTACTAGGCATCAGAAGAATATTAAAAAACGGATTCATAATTCTTGCTATATCATTGCGAAGTAAGCAATGCGTTAGAAAAGATTCCGATAACAACCTCAAATTATGCTTCTGCTGATGATGAAAATTGTCAAAAACTTTTAATAATGACCTAAAGATAATGAGTAATTAGACGCACAATATATTGACAAGGTTTACGTTACCTATCAAAGTTTCGAATACTGTTTTGGTTTGTTGGAATTTTGACATCTAGCTCTCTTCCCGAGCACCATAATAACATAAACCTTTTTAAAAAATCAACAGTAAGAGTGTCATTTACTAAATAACTCGCAATTACGTCTTCCACATAAGATTTGGTGTAAAATATGTTATGTATGTGATACAATAAGGTGGCACAAGTCATTACCTTATCTTGATTACGAAAAGTTCCAATTAAATCCCACAACAATTGAGACATTATCTAGAATTATAACATGCACATGCATTATCTCAAAATGAAGTACACAAAAAAGGTATAAAGTTTTATTCTTTGTACATGTTTCGATCGCAGAATTGTAATCAGCAGAGGAGCTGACTGAAATGTCAACCCAAGGTGATAAAAAAGATTTGCTGTTGAAGAAATATACAAAGACTAAAACTGTTCTGTTTGTAATAATACACCAAAAGACAGTATTAGAAATAAAAATCCGAAACAACTGAATACCAAATGATCCTCGAGATCTTTACACATCCATAGTTTTTATTATAGGGTTGATTATGCCCTAATAGATCAGCATAGCTTGTAAAACAAATTTTTTGATTTTTGATTTTTTGCCTACATACAAAAAATGGATTGCGCAAATACAAAAGTTGTGTTGTGCAGGCTCAAATTATTTTTAGCGCATTTTTGCAAAAATTTTTTTTGTAAAAAGTAGCTTTTAATCTCACTTTGGCTGGCTGGCTGGCTGGCTGGCTGGCTGGCTGCTGGCAGTAAATGCGCGCCCGTAGAAAAACGCTTGTAAAAAGACAAGGAGTGTACATGTAACTATCGGGGCCGTGTAATTAAGAACGTTAGGGATGGGGCTACAAGATTTGGAGTCGACGACATCTGGACGCCATCCCCGAGCGTATTATACTAACCTGGAGATTTTTCAGTTTTTATCTATCTTCTTCTACAGTTTTTCTCCGATTGTTTTCAAATTGGTGTCGTCGGGAAGATCTTGTCAACGCGCACAACTCCTGCGTGGCGGAATTTTGTTTTTTTTCCTAGGGGCGAAATAAACCACCTTTTGCGCGGCGCGCTTCGAGGGGTAGTCGACTTTGGGCGCCCAAAAGTTTCTTACAGCGCGAATCGCGGTCTCTCTTTCTCGTGTCACTAATAGAAGGTCGAGCTATGTGAAGTACCCAAAAGTTGAATACGATTTTATGCCGGGATTTTAGCGAAATCTACCAAAATGTGAATTACGAATGAACGGGACGTCGGAACTGTGTATCGACAAAGGGAATGTGGTAACCCCCGACGAGATCTTACTGATGGTGGAGTCGAAACTTCAAATCCGAATTGTTGCGGGTGATCAGAAGTGGGTGTCGACAAAGGGAATATGGTAACCCCCAAAGGATTTTAATGATGGTGGAGTCAAAACTTCAAACGCGAATTGCGAGTGCACGGTAAGTGAGAAAATGGTACCGACAAAGTGAACGTGGTAGCTTTCGGCAAGATCTTATTGATGGTGGAGTCAATATTGGCTAATAAAACACTGATCTGCCACACAAAAATGCGCTGAAGTCCCTTCGATCTCACACGAGGACTTTGATTATTTTTTTCAGCACACTATTCACCTTTTTATATTTTAACAATTTCTGTATGTATGAAGTTCGTCGTCAGCTAGTAATTAATAATAATAACCAGTAACCGTTAATGTTAAATGTAAGAAAAGGTTTGTAACACCAACACTCCAAAACCAATGTTTAAGCACAACAAAACGGACTCCTTTCTGACAAATCGCGGTGTGTTTACCTACAACCCTGCAAGATTGCCGACCCGTGTGGCGCAGTACAGTTGAAGCTGAACTGTGGTGCCTCTGCTCGAATTCGGGTTCGGGCATGGATATTTGTAAATGTATAGTGAGTTAGGTTGGTAGAACAGCCTTAGCTGAAACCCCGCCCACTCAAAAATGAAGGCAAATAAATAATGTTAATAGAGATAACAGTTCGTTTTTAATTGAAATGAAGGTTCTGTAAAGTTAACACACCCTATACGGTTATTGAAAACCAAAATATATTCTGTGGTACGCCCTGCGCAAGCGCAACAGCGAAGCGGTTGTCAACTTGTTTTATAAATTTTGAAAAATAACGGTTTTGTTTTTGTGGTATGTGGCACGTGTGTGGTGACAGTTGGAGAAGATATTTTAATTAAGGTGATGTGTGTCACTTGTGTAATTTTATAGAGCGAGTTAGTCCACAATAGACGGTTTCGGCGTAAGTTTGACCTTGAAAGGATAAAGAGGAAAGTTCTACCCTAGTTTTGTTTCTTTCTAACAGTGTCGCCACACATAGCGCAATATATCCCCAAATTGATTAGTTATTTTTACAATATTACCATATAATTGGTAATCCATGTTTATAGTAATATAACCTTACAAAACATTCGCATAACCTCATTTATTCGTTTCTGTCATCATTATTTCCTGGCCTTTTCTAGTTTTCTCATTGCATATTTCCATTTATCTTTCACGTTCCACCTTTGATTATTTTATTTCCTTTTGCATTTTTTGAATACCCTGTCTTTAACCTTTATACCAAACAGTTTTTTTTAAAACTAAACTGTACACAATCCTTCTTGCTCAAGTAAGTAGTTTTATACTTTATAGATGTTTATAATATATTGCAATGTACAATTTTATTAGTGGATCAACCATCGATTTCCCTATTACCAGAAGATGTTCCTGGTGCTGTTTTACGCCATGGTGTAAATATTGAGGACCATTCTAACCTGGAGTTGCAAAGGTGGTTAGAGTGTCGTGCATTAAAGAAAACAGGAAATAAAACTGATTTAGTGCAAAGGTAAATAGGCAAATTTATTGTGCTTAGTAGAATTACTTATATCTCATTTATTTGTAGGGTTGTAAACTGTATTGAAGCGGGACGCAGTAATAGTATTTCCCTAGCTATTGATGGAGGCAAATGGTACGATATGAAACGGAACGTTGTTGTAACTGCTTCCACTTCAACTGCTGCATCAGGTCCTGCATCTGATGAGACTCTTCTGTGGGCAAGATTCCCATCTCGTGAAATCCCCCAATATTTCAACAAGGGCCACATCTATACCTATCTTGTGGGATGCTTCTTTGAAAATGAAGATTATGTCAGCAACAATACAGGTGTAACAGAAAAACCGTTTCGACGTGGCAGCCAGTTTGTAAGCAGCGATCACTTGCACGAAGTGTTTGACAGCAGTGATAACCGATTTTACCTTTTAAAAGCAAAGTGTTTTGCATCATTTAATAAGAATAAATTGTACTCTGTAGTGATAACTTTAAACAAAGCATCGGGAGCTGTAGTTAATGGTAGATGCGAGTGTAAACAATCTGCGTTAGGTAAATGTAGCCACGTAAGCGCTCTTTTGCTGTTCCTGGAGAAGTTTTGCGGAGAAAACGGCCACGATAACACTGCATGCACCAGCAAGTTAAGGCAGTGGGGTTTGGGTGCTAAACTGAAAAAACCTGGACCTATTTCCCAAAAGAAGTACGGCAATGTGAGATTCGAACCAATTCGCAGGGCAACGTTCGATCCAAGACCAGACAACTATGAAAGAACTGTCAATATAAACAATTTTATTTGCGATTTACAAAAAGAACGTCTTCCTACAATGTTCGAAACTTTATTCCAACTACGTTATGATGACTTCAAATTGGACCAAAGTAGTGTAGATATCGTCATACAACAAGTTCTAATTTTCAAGAAGAATATGGATCAGGAACTTATAAAACAAAAGAACATCTTTTCTGTAGAAGGTGCCGAAATTCAGCATTCGTTGGGTTGGTTTAGATGGAGAAGCTACTTTATCACAGCATCGAATGCAAAGACCGCTTCATCCCTAGTGAGTCTTTCCGCAAAAAACAATTATTTAAAAAGAAATCTATGGCAATTAACACCAAATTTATTGACGGCAGCAATGAGATACGGTCAAGTTAATGAGGCGAAGGCAAGGGACAAGTATGTAGCCGATCACATTCAACCAAATGAACAATTTGTGCAAGTAGGGCTGTATATGAACAAGAAATACCCTCACCTAGCGTGTAGTGCTGATGGAGTTGTGACAACCAACGGAGTGATCACAAGAGTCATAGAAATCAAATGCCCTAAAGTGCTCGAAGACAAAGATCCATGTCAGTGGAACAGTGTGTTAACAGGTCAACAACAGAGCAACTTTTTCGCGTATGAGGAAAATAATAAAGTGTTTTTAAAAGCGAACCATCCATATAATTATCAGGTTGCTACAACAATGTTAATTTTTGAAGTTCCCGAATGTGATTTTGTTGTGTGGTCAAGTGTAGGTCTCCTAGTTTTTAAGGTACAATTATCTGATATCTCTAGGCATGTTATTGACGACATAACTAAAAAGCTTAAAAAAATGTATTATAATATGTACATTCCAGAATTATTTTTAATGCGAATTCCGAGGAACTTACCATTATTTGAGTTGGACTACTTTCAAGAATAATGTATACTATACTATATTTTGTGCTCTTTGTTATAATTACATACATAATGTTATAATAAAATTATGTTAAAACTGGTTTTTCAAAGTTTACCAAAAAACAAATTATACTAAATATATTGGACATAATGGGTAACATTGAAATTTGCACTGGCTTTGCTAAAATTTGGTAGCTTTTTATTCGTCTGATGGAGCGCTCTACAGTAATACGACACTTTGCAATTTTCTTTGTTAGTATTTCTTCTTCCGCTGTTAATCTTGTCCTGCCAGCCAAGAAAGGTGGAATGATTAATTTATATTTGTGCTCATCACAAATGTCTTGAATGGTAAAACCACGATCTGCCATAAGCACATCGTCTTCTTCCAAAAATACAGAAATGTCTGACGACTTAAATAGTTCGATGTCCGAAATGGACCCCTCGTAACCCTCACTGTTGTATACAACTGCCCCTCTTGAAGACACTCCCACTAAAAACTTGATCGTATTGTAGTGCTTGTAGCTGGAATGGGTGTTTCCTTGTTGCTGAAAATTTTTGGACATCTGCATCCGGACTTCAGTGGTATCCAGAACTACGGTCACTTTGTCATTAAGTAGGCGAAAACAAGCAGGCATGTGTCTTATATCAGTGGCACGAGCACCTTTCATGAAAGCATTGCGCAGAACACACGTTTGTAAATAAACAAATTGCACCCACGTATAAAATATTGCCGACACTTGGGTGACACTCATGTTATAAAATATAGATAATTCTGTGGTCTGTGGTGTGTGATCACTGTGATCTCCACTTCCAACATTTACATTAGCCAATGCCCTTTCCAGATTCACATTATCTTCTTGGGAACCTGAGCCGACTTCGATGAAACTTTGAATATCCAAACTATTTAGACGTAGTAGAGGGTTAGTCAAGTAGCTTTGATGCGGTTCTGGATTTTCTGATTCCCTTGTAGCAAAATGCTGCTCACAAATATACACATTCTTAGTAATATTAGATGGGTTTAGATTGTTGTTTCCACATAGTTCAATCCATAATAAGCTCTTCGCCATATTCCGCAGTGGTTTAGGGAACGGATGATAACGGAGATTGCGACACCTTTTAGACTTTGAGGTGTTGTTGCAATCCTTGTAATGACACTTTGGCATTGTAATGCCTCCTATAATGAACAGAATCAATCATAATGTAACCTTCTTTTTACATAATACTTACTTGAGCAAGAAGGATTGTGTACAGTTTAGTTTAAAAAAAAACTGTTTGGTATAAAGGTTAAAGACAGGGTATTCAAAAAATGCAAAAGGAAATAAAATAATCAAAGGTGGAACGTGAAAGATAAATGGAAATATGCAATGAGAAAACTAGAAAAGGCCAGGAAATAATGACGACAGAAACGAATAAATGAGGTTATGCGAATGTTTTGTAAGGTTATATTACTATAAACATGGATTACCAATTATATGGTAATATTGTAAAAATAACTAATCAATTTGGGGATATATTGCGCTATGTGTGGCGACACTGTTAGAAAGAAACAAAACTAGGGTAGAACTTTCCTCTTTATCCTTTCAAGGTCAAACTTACGCCGAAACCGTCTATTCTTAATTTGTCCTTTTATTAGTAGTTTTTACCTTGTGTGTAACACAAATTGTTGGTACATACAAATTTATTTATTTAGGAGATTGTCAAATTTAAATGTCCAACTGATAACTTCTTTAGATACCAAAATGGCGAATGGATATGAAAGATCCCACTTATATAAAGTTCGCGTTCGGACTTCTACCATTTTAGAAGAAATGGAGAAAGTGACAGATAATCTTCGTCGTTCATCACGGTGGTCGATATTGTTACAAAGACGAAACATAGCTGCCTTCATGTCCCCAATGAACTCCCCTCATACTTCTATAAAGAAGATCGAACGATCTGTAATTAAGAAGAATCAAAGTGACGAGCGTATGGAACAGTTAAACAAATGGAAGGAGCAGAAAAAAAAGAGATTAGCAGCTGAAAAAGCCAAAGCTAAGCCTATTTTTAAAGTTTGCCGTGTTAAGGATGTAGTTGTGCCAGACATATCTAACATTTACAAGAAAATTAAGGGGAAAGACCAATTTAAGGTAGCACCTTCTTCTACATATAAATTTAAAGCACCTGTTAATGTAAAACCATTAAACATGAAATCCCCCACTAAGTCAAAGGCGAGACGCAAAATTGACTTTGTGTTGAACGACACTTCAAGCAAACAAACTAGGGTTTCAAACAATAGGTCGTATAAGAACAGCGCGATGACAAAAAAGACAAGTTCAGATATTAAAGTGATCAAAACAACAACTACTACAGTAAAAGAAACATACAGAAAGTGTGAAAGCAACGAAGATGGTGCTCGATACGTCACTCCTGTTAAAAACGATTCTCCGGTGGCGTATATTAGCCCATTTATAACTGTATCTAGAGGGAAGGAGAATGCACGCCGTGAATATCACAACCGACGTACGTATAAAGTTGAGCTTGTGCTTGAATATCTTATCAGATTTATAGGGTTTAATTTATTTGAGTCGCCCACAGCTAGTGGCGTACAGAAAAATATGACTCCCAAAGCTGGCGCCAGATACTTTGAAAATTTACTTCAGATACAGGAGCAGCGCTTAACTCAGCTGTGTTGCAGCTGGGAGACTTACAGTGTAAGTTTTGGCGTCCCTTTCTTGTGCCTTTTTTGTAAATGAAGTTCGCATCCAGTAATAACGTTCATATTCACAGTACACGCAGAATCCACCCGAGGAGGCTTGTGATATGATCCGTATGGAAATTGGTCAAACAAAGCTTTTGATGCGGAAAAAATTTACGAAATTCCAAGAACTCATCGGCCAGTGCAAAAATTCAAATGGGGATAAAATTGTAACCTGCCTTGATCTACACGGATTTTGGGACATAATCTTGATTCAAGTAGACTATTTGTACCTCTTCCAAAAAATATTTATTTCCTATATTTTAGATAAACAATTTAGATAGTCGATTTGAAAATTTAGATCGTCTTAAGACTAACAATTGGGAAGAGATTCTTCCTGTAGCACCTACAAGTACAAAGCAAGTCAAACTGAAAAAAGTTAGCAACACTAAACGAAAGGGAGTAAAGAGTAGCTTGCAGGATTTAATAAAAGGTTTGTTCAAATTGATACATCGATATTCTGCTGACATTAAATTATAGAACAACGCAAAAAAAATATGAAAGAAATTAAAAATTCTCCAATGATTGTTGTAACCACACCACGCAGTAAGCTGGCAGATATATCGAACATATTGCACGAATCTGCTGTAAGTAGACCGCATTAGTCTATTTATTTAATTACAGAATTTCAGGTCGTCACTCCTCGTAACCAAAGAGCAATGCCGGAACGAACGCCAAAACAGCATAGTATACGAAAAGTAAAATCTGTCTTATTCTCTGAGAGTACAGAAAAGGAAAATTTGTGCGAGACCTCAAACCTCATTCAGTTTTCTCCCAATAAATCCGTGGAACGTAAGTTACTACCTCCAAGAACACTAAATATAAACATTTTGTGCTGTACAAATATTTGTTGACTACTAGAGTGATCATCTTCTGGCACTTTTCAGTGCAAATGAGTACAGTTTCTACAGCAAGTAGGCAAACACATATTTGTATACCATGGAAACTTGTTATATTTGATACTTTTTGCTTACATCAAGTTTTCAATTTATAAATTTTTAGATCCCAGAAGATCAAGTACGTCGGTTGTGATATTCCTTCCATTTGTTTAACTGTTCCATACGCTCGTCACTTTGATTCTTCTTAATTACAGATCGTTCGATCTTCTTTATAGAAGTATGAGGGGAGTTCATTGGGGACATGAAGGCAGCTATGTTTCGTCTTTGTAACAATATCGACCACCGTGATGAACGACGAAGATTATCTGTCACTTTCTCCATTTCTTCTAAAATGGTAGAAGTCCGAACGCGAACTTTATATAAGTGGGATCTTTCATATCCATTCGCCATTTTGGTATCTAAAGAAGTTATCAGTTGGACATTTAAATTTGACAATCTCCTAAATAAATAAATTTGTATGTACCAACAATTTGTGTTACACACAAGGTAAAAACTACTAATAAAAGGACAAATTAAGAATTGTGGACTAACTCGCTCTATAAAATTACACAAGTGACACACATCACCTTAAAATATCTTCTCCAACTGTCACCACACACGTGCCACATACCACAAAAACAAAACCGTTATTTTTCAAAATTTATAAAACAAGTTGACAACCGCTTCGCTGTTGCGCTTGCGCAGAGCGTACCACAGAATATATTTTGGTTTTCAATAACCGTATAGGGTGTGTTAACTTTACAGAACCTTCATTTCAATTAAAAACGAACTGTTATCTCTATTAACATTATTTATTTGCCTTCATTTTTGAGTGGGCGGGGTTTCAGCTAAGGCTGTTCTACCAACCTAACTCACTATACATTTACAAATATCCATGCCCGAACCCGAATTCGAGCAGAGGCACCACAGTTCAGCTTCAACTGTACTGCGCCACACGGGTCGGCAATCTTGCAGGGTTGTAGGTAAACACACCGCGATTTGTCAGAAAGGAGTCCGTTTTGTTGTGCTTAAACATTGGTTTTGGAGTGTTGGTGTTACAAACCTTTTCTTACATTTAACATTAACGGTTACTGGTTATTATTATTAATAATAATAATAATAATAATAATAATAAACGACCACCTGAAGAGGACCGCCATGAAGAGACCTTTGTGCCTGCTTCTCAACCGCTTGTGGATGGGACCAGCGCAAAGGAAACCTCCAAAAGACGTATGAAATGGAACGAAGGGATGAATCGCTTCATTTTTGGTACGTATCTGGAGATCACGAAGATGGAAACGGACAGGACAGCATACAGAGGTAAACTATATCACGCGTTCATTACACAATACCCACATTTAGCACACTTAACAGAACAATGCATTGCAGACCAACGTAGAGTTATTATTAAAAATACACTCCTTACATTAGACACACAGGAACAAATCAGGCACGAAATTGAAGCACTACTCAACACAAACAACACACTCACCGTACAACATAATACATCCGTTCTAAACAACTCTGAAATACAGACATTTGCGACACTGCAGCCATCGATAGATACAAATAATCACACGAACCAAACACTCACATCCCTTCAAAAAGAATTCGACAATGCATTATTAGAATTCTCAAACACTGACCCAACACAAAGACCACGAATACCTAAACAAAGTCACACTACAAAATTACGCACACTTTCACAAACATTAAATGACCACATCTTACCAAATTACATTAACGATAACACAAGCTTACATCAACTACACTTTGTTGTGTATTGCGGTGCGGTTGCAGTTTCTAGATGTAACGGTGCAAGAATAACAATAAACAAACAACAGCACACAACAAAAAAACGCTCACCCCCGGCCTGGGAAAAACGCCTGATAACTCGCATCGATGACATCAGACGTGACTTAGGTCGGATTACACAATACATACAAGGAACTCGTTCTTCAAAACTAACACGACAAGTACAACACATAACTACAAAACTAAACAATCACACCACACGAGAACAAAATACAAACTATAACGAACATAGAGATACACTGACACAAAAACTATCAATATACACAAACCGTCTAAAACGCTATAGGGAAACTGCAGATAGAAAGCGCCATAACACACAATTTAAACATAACGAAAAACTATTTTACAGATCACTAACACAAAACAGCACTAATGAAAAACTCATTCCACCATCTCTACACTCACTCCAGCAATACTGGTCTGACTTATGGACCAAAGACATTAAACACAATCCACACGCCCCGTGGATTACCACAGAAACCACACGCACTGAATACATTACCCCTATGAATAACACAAACATCACTACAACAGACATCATTCAAACTATTAATCACTTACATAACTGGAAAAGTCCAGGCATTGATAACATTCACAACTTTTGGTGGAAATATTTTACCTACACTCACTCTTACCTTGCGCAACAATTTACTGAACTTCTTAATTCACCAGATCGCACTCCTGCATTCTTTACACAAGGTATCACTTACATGCTCCCAAAAGACAACAATACACAAGACCCATCTAAATATAGACCAATTACATGCCTTCCTACAATATACAAAATCCTTACATCATGCATTACAAACAAAATACAGGGTGATTCCTATAGTACCTGCCACCGTTTGGGAGCGTGTAGGTGGTGCGTAGCGGAGTATTTTGATATAGGACACTTGGGGTCGGAAATCTAAAATAAGGGTGCCAGAGCCAAATTTACCTTCTGGAATTTCGCGCCTGTAGGTATGCAACCCAACCGGCCGGCGGTGCACACGGAGCGATCTCAGGCGGCGATGTGTGGCTGACACTTGATCAGAATTTTGTTTAAACCCACGAAATCCCGTCTGCAACGACGCGTATCAAGTGAATAAACACTATGGCACGTTTTACTAACACGGAATACGCGGACATGCACTTCATGTACGGATTGGCAAATGGTAACGCACGAGCTGCACGACGAGCGTACGCTGAGCGGTATCCAAACCGTCAGTTACCCTGCAGACAGGTCTTTCAAGAAGTTCACTTCCGACTGTGCGAGACAGGGCAATTGCAGGTAAGCTGACGGAGGCTTAACTTTACACACAGATTCGTGATGCACATCGATACTTGGGTCATTTAAGCACCCATTTCGAAAAGTTTGTTTGTTTACACCGACCTCCTCCTATTTCGCAGCCCACTAGCGCCCGTGATCGCGATTGCCCGTTGGTAAATGCCTTAGAGGAGGATGTGTTGGAACGTTTCGAGGCAAACCCGCGTACTAGCACTCGACTTGTAGCAGATCAGGTGGGTTGTAGTCAACACACAGTGTGGAACATCGCCAACAACAACAACTTACACCCCTATAAGTTTAAGAAAGTGCAAGAGTTACGGCCGGGTGACCATGAAAGGAGGCTGGAATTCTGCAACTTAGTCGTCCAGGAGGAAGAAGCTAATCCGAACTTTCTGAGGAGCGTGCTAGTTACTGACGAGAAAGGATTCTCAAGAGAGGGGACCTTCAATCCTCGTAACAGCCACTACTGGGCGGAGCACAATCCTCATGAAACGTTTACGCGAGGATACCAGGACAAGTTTTCTTTAAACGTTTGGGCTGGCATCCTGGGGGACAACCTACTGGGGCCTTACATCCTCCCTCCGCGTCTAAATGCCCATAATTACCTGATTTTCCTGCGCGAGGTGCTACCAGAACTTTTAATGGATGTTCCAGTGAACTTGTACTGGGACCACTGGTTCCAGCACGATGGGTGCCCTGCTCACTACGGGCGGCAGGTGAGGGAACACTTGGACCAAACCTATCCGGACAGATGGATCGGCCGTGGAGGTGCGGTGGAGTGGCCTGCCCGCTCGCCCGACATCACCCCATTAGATTTTTACTTGTGGGGTGTGATGGAAGCGCACGTCTACGAGACTCCCGTCGAATCCGAAGAGGACTTAATTGCGCGCGTCGTCATGGCCGGAGAGGCTGTTCGCCAGGACATAGGAGTCTTCACGCGAGTTCGAGGGGAGTGGTTGGCTAGATGTAGGAAGTGCATTGAGAACAACGGTGGCCACGTTGAACACTTGTAAACGTTATTGCTTTTGACTGTCGTTTTCCCTCCTTCCCTCCCATGTCGCTTCCTCGCGCTAACTCGCTCTGCATCGCTCCGCGCGAAACGTCGGTCGGTTGGGTTGCCTACATACAGGCGTGAAATTCCAGAAGATAAATTTGGTTCTGGCGCCCTTATTTTGGATTTCCGACCCCAAGTGTCCTATATGAAAAGACTTCCCCTAGGCACCCCCTATACGCTCCCAAACGGTGGCAGGTACTATAGGAATCACCCTGTATACCAACACTGTACTGATAACAACATTCTATACGAAGAACAAAAAGGGTGTACCAAGTATTCCAGAGGCTGTAAGGAGCAACTCATTATAGACTCTGTTATACTTGAACAATCCAGACATAACAAACGAAACATACACACTGCATACATTGATTACAAAAAAGCATTCGATTCAGTACCACACTCTTGGTTACAACAAGTACTCTCAATATACAAAGTCAGCAACAATATTACACAATTCCTCAATTACATAATGTCATGTTGGAACACTACGTTAACACTTACACTAAACGACACAAAACTTATTACCGACCCAATACAAATTAAAAGAGGAATTTTTCAAGGCGATTCTTTAAGTCCGCTCTGGTTTTGTCTTGCTCTTAATCCACTTTCATATTTGTTAAACACTACTAACTTTGGGTACAATATTAAACACAACCACGAAATACATCACAACATTACACACCTGTTTTACATGGACGACCTTAAATTATACTCTTCCACAAGCATAAAACTTAATCACCTTCTACACATTACCGAAACATTCTCACGTGACATACAAATGGACTTTGGAATCGATAAATGTAAAACACAACACATCACAGCTGGTAAAAGGCAACTTTTAGATTATGAGCTAGAACAGGGTAATTTAATAAATTCCATGGACGAGAATGAAACTTATAAGTATCTTGGTTTTCAGCAAAATACACATATTAAACATACGAGTATAAAGCAAACACTTATCACACAATACCTACAAAGAGTACGCAGTATACTTAAAACAAAATTACACGGTAGAAATACAATCAAGGCTACTAACACTTATGCCACACCAGTGCTTACATACTCTTTTGGGATTATACGTTGGACAAATACAGATTTAGAACAAATACAGAGAAACACACGTACACTATTAACAAAACACCATATACATCACCCTCACTCCTCTACTATACGACTTTACCTTCCTCGTTCGGAAGGAGGTAGAGGACTTACAGATATAAAACTATTGCACCAAACACAAATACACAATTTACGACAATACTTTTATAACAAATCAGATACTTCAGTTTTACACAAAACAGTAACATATGCAGATAAATCTTACACACCACTTAATCTACACGAAACTAATATACTCCCACCCACATCCAAACTTACATACATCACAAATAACATACAAATATGGAACCAAAAGCCTTTACATGGACGATTTCCACAAGAGGTTAGCCAGGATTGTGTTGATTCTATAGCAACGCACAGTTGGTTGTCTGAATGTGATATCTTCCCGGAGACTGAGGGTTTCATGTTAGCAATACAAGACCAGGTCATTAACACACGTAAC